CCAAGAACACTGTAATAGATATTTTGAGACCTAAAAACCTTGCAATCCAAAGTCTAAATCTTAAAGCTATAATCCTATACATATGCACTGGTCAAATAACTTAATGGGCCTTAGTTCTGATAAGACATGGACTGTAGTACAAATCTTATTGAAATTCTACTAACAGGCTTCTAAGGCTGGATCGACACTTTCCTATATTCCAGGATCTGAATCCATATTATCTGATTTAAACTTGATTTTATGAGTCTACACTATCAGATAATCTGTGATGAACAGATCATCTGGGACCAGATTCTGGGACATAGGCAGTGAAGATCCAGCCTAAGTTATGTATATTATGGTAAGCAAACCTTTTTCAGCATTGGCTGTCTATATGGGACAGAAGTCAACAAAGATGGCTCAAAATACTGAATTTTACTTATGGGGCTGAAATCATATTTCTAGTTTTATGAAATGTAGTTTTCTGTGCATATTAATTAGGTTTACCAAAATATTAATATTTCTGCATGATAAGAAAAAAAACCCATGGAATATTTGAGTAGGTTTGGTGAATTTATTGCTTACTAGCCATTTGGGTCTTCTACAGTTGTATTTAGTATTATACTTGATCTGAGCTCAATATATAGCATTTAAAGAATAGCCAGATACCAAAGGACCTTGCATTAGTACCCCGGCAGCTATCTGCTTTCTTTATTTTAGTGACATTGTGTTTACTCATTTCCTGTGTTGATACACAGCCAAACTGTTCATCAACAACAGTGAAAATCCACATAACATATTGCAAGATAAGGAAGTGAATTATACTTACAAGTAGTGCTGAATGGACAACTGGAGGGTTGGGATGATCCAAAAATAAAATAAGTCCTGGTAGACATCCTTGATCTTGGACAATTGCTCTTCTGTTTAAAGGGTCAGCTGCCAAGTCCCGCAGCTGGTTCACGACAGATAACGCATCTGGCTCCTCGTTCATTGTGGTGCTGTTCATTTTTCTTTCTCATGCATAAAACTCTGTGATAAGAGAGACTGCATTAGTAATATCAAAATGTTAATTAAGCGCTTACTGCAAGTGCCTGTGAACTGATCCCGTAGATTTTGTAATTCAGTTCTTATGGCATCTATGTATAGTAATCTTGGTCTTTCGACATAACCACCTCTAAAGATAATATAGTCAGCTCTCCACAGTTGTTGGGGTTGGGACACAAGCTACCAATGAAAGTAGGAAAACGCGAAGTTTAAAAACCGACTGTTTTCTTAATCTTGAGAGACCACCTCTCTAGAATTCTCTATCTGAAAATCGATCATAAAGTTGCACTCTAGGACCCAGAAATTCTTAGAAAACCCATCTCAATTAAATCAAATCCACAAAAGTTAAACAAGCAAATGTGGAGGGTTGAGTGTATCTTTAATATTGTTCTTAAAAACGAACGCATCATAGTAACAGATTTACAAAGTTTTTAAAAACTCAACAGACTTTATACATTTTTACATTTTTGTACACTGATATTCACTTTAACATGTTTAGAAGACGTCTTCCAGAAGACTTTTCTTCAATTTTGAAGAAAAGTCAAAGAACTTCAGAAAATTCATTGTGATCTTGATCAATACTTCTACCAATGTCAATATTGTGCAAGTAGTCATTCAATGGGGAAAATAAGAGTTTATGAAATCCACAGAACATTATATGGGCAAGCTGTTGCACTACCTATCATGACAAGAATGATTGGTTTCATCCATCACCTGGTAAGAGGAATAAATAGGTGAAAAGAGAGTTGAAATGGGAAATACTATTTTTTTGGACAATGTCCTAGAGCTATCTGAACAGGCTGAGCTGGCAACCTTATCTATAAGACATCAATGTTATTTTCTGACTCCAGGTGGAAATTTAGGTTTCCCCAGCATTTAAAGAGCAAAAGCAACAACACTAGTAAGCTTTACCTCTGTAGGGGTGATGCAGATATTTGATCTGGATTGAGATCTTGATCACTGGTTAACAGCTTGCTGATTTTAACTTTTGTTGTACTATGGATTGTATGCTGTATGTGTATGGGTTAAATGTGTTTGTCAAATGTTTTGATACAGCGGATGGGCTAATCAATAAAGCTTTAGCAGGTATCTTCCTTTACTTTAACTATGTTTCTTCAAATTGAAGATTATTCTTCTACAGCATAGGAATTCAACCCCACTGCAGGAAAAAACTGCTATTAAAATTATCTGATGAGGCCTAGGCCATCATGCCAACTTGCTTTAAAAAATTCAACATGCAGGAATTGTTTAATTTAGGCACCTGTGTCTTCTTCAGGAAAAAAAAAACTGTATGTAATCAGAGTACAAAAGATAATGTGAGAATTGGCCCAGATTATTTAATACAGGTCAGAATTCAAAATATATAGTCCCATATCAACACACAATGTTTCAAAGTAACTCTTGCAATAAACAAGCCAGATATTTCTTTGAATAACTGGATATAGATATGTGATTCCTTGGAACCTGACCAGTGATGAAAGAATATTACAAATGCATCAATTTATGTTAAAAGGAATATTCAGATTAAAGTCCTGAAAAAAACATTTAATTCTATTTCCAATAACAGTTACATTAGGGGGCTTTTTGAAAAACAACAGTCTGCCTTCTGAATCCACTGATTCTATATCAATTGATTCATCCACCCATGTCTTGAAATTAACTGAAGGTGAGATCCTAAATGGGTAAAGCCATTCAGAATAAAGGTGCACAGGGTGGCATGATCATTGCAGGCACTCAGAGTGGGTCTGCACAGCAACAGTACCACTTTATTGTGGTCCATGACCGACTGTTAGGAATGGTGGGCGTTGAAGTCCAAAACACCTGGAGGGCCAAAGTTCGCCCATGGCTGGATTAGGGTCTGCACTATAGAATTAATATAGTTTGACACCACTCTAACTGGCATGGCTCAGTGCTATGGAATCATGGGAGATGACCTGGATTATGATTACCAATTGCTTGGTTTTATAGTGATAGTAATGTTTTATAATGTTTTAATGTATTTAGTTTTGATTTTAATTTTAATGTATTTTAGCTGTATGTTGTTGCTAAGGCATTTAATTATTGCCTATCAGTAAGCTGCCTTGAGTCCCCTCCAGGGTAGAGAAAGGTGGGATATAAATATAATAAATTTATATAAATAAAAATGTAATGTTCAGCGTATTGTCGAAGGCTTTCATGGTCCACTGGGTTGTTGTAGGCTTTTTTCGGGCTATATGGCCATGTTCTAAAGGCATTTTCTCCTGATGTTTCACCTGCATCTATGGCAAGTATCCTCAGAGGTCCATCCTCACAACCTCTGAGGATGCTTGCCATAGATGCAGGCGAAACATCAGGAGAGAATGCCTCTAGAACATGGCAATATAACCCGAAAAAACCTACAACAACCCAATGTAATGTTCGTTCGTGGGATTAACATAACTCCAAAACCACAGGACGACTTGACACCAAATTTGGACACAATACACCATTTTTGTATTATATTGTATATATTGTATTGATGGGCGTGGCCTCATGTAAGCCACCCCGAGTCCCCTTAGGGCAGTGGTTCTCAACCTGTGGGTCCCCAGGTGTTTTGGCCTACAACTCCCAGAAATCCCAGCCAGTTTACTAGCTGTTAGGATTTCTGGGAGTTGAAGGCCAAAAACATCTGGGGACCTCAGGTTGAGAACCACAGCCTTAGGGAGATGGTGGCAGGGTATAAATAAAGGTTTATTATTATTATTATTATTATTATTATTATTATTATGATTATTATTATTACACCTATCAGGCCAACATGTGACCATCACTCATAAAAACACTGAAAAGCACAGTGGGAGAGACTTGAAAAGCCAAAAAGTAAAAAAATACATTACAACGCATGGGCAAAACCACCTATATACACATACATACACACACAAAACACATATTCACAGACTGGGCCACAGCAACGTGTGGCAGGGGATGGCTACTAACTAAATAAATGTTGTTCTCCATAGTTGTTCCCCTTCTCTGGAAATGAGTGGCGGTGCCCCCATCAAACTATAAATCCCAGGATTCCATAACAGTCAAAGTGGTGCAAACTGCATTAATTGTAGTGTGGGCCTTCGGAGATGGAATGAAGGCACTTGAAAGCACTAGACATCCATCTATACCAGGCATGGGCAAACTTGGGCCTTCCGGGTGTTTTGGACTTCAACTCCCACCATTCCTAACAGCCTCAGGCCCTTTCCTTTCCCCCCTCAGCCGCTTAAGTTTGCCCATGCCTGACCTATACTGTAGAAGTAATGCAGCTTGACACCACTTTGACTGCTGTAGCTCAATGCTAGACAAATCCTGGGATTTGTAGGTCAGTGAGGCCCTAGCACTCTTTGGCAGAGAAGGTTATAAACACTGTAAGACTACAACTCCCTGGATTGGTAGTATTCAGCGTAGACACACACGAGGGGGCAAGCCTTCTTGGCTCTGAAGAGTGTGGGTGCCTCACCAAACTACAGCTCCCATGCTTCCAAGTGGTGTCAAGGTGCATTCAATCTAGTGTGGAGAGAGGGGTCAGAGGACGGTGCTATGGCCATGCCGAGGACCCTCCTTGTGGGCCCTACTGACGTCTCTCCTCCCCGAAGCCCCCCATCCATCCCTCTTCTCACTTTTCAGGGCCCGCTGGAGGGGAGGCGTGGGGTCCCTCCGAATCCGCGGAGGCGGCAGGAAAGGAGACCTGAGGGAAGGCAGGAGGGAGGCGCAGAATTGGAACCCCGCGCCCGGGAGGCAGCATCCGGCAGCACAGCGGGGCCGGGTTGGCTGCGTCCCAGAGCGCCGCCGCTCCACTCACGGCCTGCCTTATTGCGCCGGCCTCCGATTGGCGGAACTCGACGGGCCTTGCGCGCGAACTACCAATCCCAGGAGGCGCCGCGCGGAACCCCCCCCCCACGTCCGTTTCCGCTGCTGCGCGCGCATTCTCTTCCATGCTCTGGTTTGCTTTTCTTTCCAAGCTACAAACGTCCTGCACTGAGCCAAGGCTGTTAAATGCACTAGAACAGGGGTCCTCAAACTTTTTAAAGAGAGGGCCAGGTCACAGTCCTTCAAACTGTTAGAGGGCCGGATTATAATTTGAAAAAAAAATATGAATGAATTCCTATGCACACTGCACATACCTTATTTGTAGTGTAAAATATTTCAATGGGAAGTATGGGCCTGCTTTTGGCTGATGAGATAGGACTGTTGTGTGCTTCCAAGTCATTTCAGACTTAGGTTGACCCTGAGTGAGGGCCGGGTAAATGACCTTGAAGGGCCGTATCTGGCCCCCGGGCCTTAGTTTGAGGACCCCTGCACTAGAATCATACAATTGGAAGAGACCTCGTTGAGCCATCCCGTCCAACTCCATTCGGCCAAGAAGCAGGAAAATCGCATTCAAAGCACCCCCGACAGATGGCCATCCAGCCTAAAAGCTTCCAAAGAAGGAGCCTCCACCACACTCCGGGGCAGAGAGTTCCACTGCTGAACGGCTCTCACAGTCAGGAAGTTCTTCCTCATGTTCAGATGGAATCTCCTTTCTTGTAGTTTGAAGCCATTGCTCGGCGTCCTAGTCTCCAGGGAAGCAGAAAACAAGCTTGCTCCATCCTCCCTATGACTTCCCCTCACATATTTATACACATATTTATACATCATGTCGCCTTACAAATTACACTGCTTAGCCGGTAGTGCACCACCTGACACTTGAAGTAGCAGCCAATAGTGAAAGGACCAAAGCAGAGACATCTCGAGCCCATCCCTTGTTTGGGTATCAGCCAGCACATCAACGACTTAAATCTAGAAATAGTTTTCTAAGATCTACAGAGATACTCTCTGGAACAACTCAGCAAGCGAGAGTCCAAAAGTGGCAGGCTCAAACCCAGACCCTCAACCAATGGGAGATACCAAATGAGAAACTCCCCCCTGGGCACATAGAAGACTGGGCGACTTGGAAGGCGCTGAACAGACTGCGCTCTGGCACCACGAGATGCAGAGCCAACCTCAAGAAATGGGGCTACAAAGTGGAATCCACGACATGCGAGTGTAGAGAAGAGCAAACCACTGACCACCAGCTGAAATGCACTCTGAGCCCTGCTACATGCACAATGGAGGACCTTCTTGCAGCAACACCAGAAGCACTCCAAGTGGCCAGATACTGGTCAAAGGACATTTAATCAACTACCAAACTTGCAAATGTTGTGTTTTGTCTGTTTGTTTTGTTCTGTTAGAAATGTAATACAATTGACTGGTTGCCCTGACGCAACAAATAAATAAATCATGTCTCCTCTCAACCATCTCTTCAGGCTAAACATGCCCAGCTCTTTAAGCCGCTCCTCATAGGGCTCATTCTCCAGACCCCTGATCATTTTAGTCGCCCTCCTCTGGACACATTCCAGCTTGTCAATGTCTCTCTTCAGTTGTGGTGTCCAGAATTGGACACAATATTCCAGGTGTGGTCTAACCAAGGCAGAATAGAGAGGTAGCATTTCCTGTAATAAGCAGTAAAAGCACTCGGAGATTTAAAGAGCCTTTGTTCAATCATTTCGAAGCGCCCTACTTGAGCAGTGATGGCACGATCGTCAGCATAGATGAAGCTCTCTGTCCCTTCTTGCAGTGCCTGATCCATTCTGATTACAGGTATGAAAAATCTTGGACTATTTCAATGTCTTTAAATTTCAATTTGCCCCTGTGAAGGAGCCCTCGGTGGTGCTGAACTTGTCACAGGTACGAATCCAGGGAGCAGTGTGAGCTTCCGCTGCTAGGCCCAGCTTCTGCTAACCTAGCAGTTCAAAAACATGCAAATGTAGGTAAATCTATAGGTACCGCTCCGGCGGGAAGATAACAGCACTCCATGCCGGCCACATGACCTTGGAGGTGTCTATGGAAACAATGCCAGCTCTTCAGCTTAGAAATGGAGATGAGCGCCAACCCCCAAGTCGGACACGACTGGACTTAATGTCAGGGGAAAACCTGTGCCTTTACCTATTGTGCCCTTTAAAGTTATTTATTTATTTATTTATTTACGACACTTATATGCCACCCTTCTCACCCCGAAGGGGACTCAGAGTCACTTACAAGATATATACACATGCAATATATTATATTACCAGCCTTCTCCTGCCACATGTTGCTGTGGCCCAGTCTGTGTATATGTGTTTTGTGTGTGTATATATATTTGTGTATATGTGTATATGTGTGGTTTTGTGCATGCATTGTATTGTATTATTCTTGGCTTTTTAATTCTCTTCTGCTATGTTTTCCAGTGTTTTTATGAGTGATGGGCACTCGTTGGCCTGATAGGTGTATTGTGTCCAAATTTGGTGTCAATTTGCCCAGTGGTTTTTTGAGTTATGTTTATCCCACAAACGAACATTACATTTTTATTTTTATTTAGATTAGTATAGTACAATATCAGTATTAAATATAACTATATTGTACTATATCATTATATTGTAATATTATTAGCAATATTGCATGTAATATAAATATATGATTATGTAGGAATTATAGTGTAGTTGTTGTTCATTCGTTCAGTCATCTCCGACTCTTCGTGACCTCATGGACCAGCCCACGCCAGAGTTCCCTGTCGGCCGTCACCACCCCCAGCTCCTTCAAGGTCAGTCCAGTCACTTCAAGGATGCCATCCATCCATCTTGCCCTTGGTCGGCCCCTCTTCCTTTTGCCTTCCACTTTCCCCAGCATAATTGTCTTCTCTAGGCTTTGCTGTCTCCTCATGATGTGGCCAAAGTACTTCAACTTTGTCTCTAGTATCCTTCCCTCCAATGAGCAGTCGGGCTTTATTTCCTGGAGGATGGACTGGTTGGATCTTCTCGCAGTCCAAGGCACTCTCAGCACTTTCCTCCAACACCACAGCTCAAAAGCATCTATCTTCCTTCGCTCAGCCTTCCCTAAGGTCCAGCTCTCACATCCGTAGGTTACTACAGGGAATACCATGGCTTGGATCTTTGTTGCCAGTGTGATGTCTCTACTCTTTATTATTTTATCGAGACTGGACATTGCTCTCCTCCCAAGAAGTAAGCGTCTTCTGATTTCCTGGCCACAGTCTGCATCTGCAGTAATCTTTGCACCTAGAAATACAAAGTCTGTCACAGCCTCCACATTTCTCCCTCTATTTTCCAGTTGTCAATCATTCTTGTTGCCATAATCTTGGTTTTTTTGTTTAGCTGCAACCCGGCTTTTGCACTTTCTTCTTTCACCTTGATTAGAAGGCTCCTCAGCTCCTCAGCTTAGATTAGAAGGCTCCTTAGCAATATTGCATGTAATATAAATATATAATTACATTATCATATTATAATTAGTAGTAGTAGTAGTAGTTGTTGTTGTTGTTCATTCGTTCAGTCGTCTCCGACTCTTCGTGACCTCATGGACCAGCCCACGCCAGAGCTCCCTGTTGGCCGTCACCACCCCCAGCTCCTTCGAGGTCAGTCCAGTCACTTCAAGGATGCCATCCATCCATCTTGCCCTTGGTCGGCCCTCTTCCTTTTACCTTCCACTTTCCCCAGCAGTAGTAGTAGTAGTAGTATATTGCATTACAATATGAGAAGATATGGTTGTGGCCATCGCAGTGAGGCGGCCTCACCGGCAGATGGCGCTCCAACCTGGTCTTTCAAAGCAAGCAGTCTCACAAACATTCTTGAAACTATAGACAGATTGCGTAAGACTAGTCATCACGGGAGAATGAATAGACTCTTCCCGCGAAGTTAGTAGCACTCTTTACCCTCTATCTCTCTATGGTGAAACGACCTTCCTCGTCCCCGGATGTTGAGGGACCTATAGTAAGCCTCGCCTCACCCTCTCAAGGAGCGACGCTGATTGGCCGGCCATACCCGGCGGAGTTATGCGATTGGCTGTTCGACGAGACGGTGTTCTGAGGGGAAAAAATGAGCTGGCGGCTGCTGAGGTGAAGGAGAAAGGAGCCGCGCCGGGTGAGTGGTAGAGGGAATAGGCTGGTTTCATGCCATGGAACTGCCGGTTGGGCCTGGCGAGAAGACTCCTCAGGAAGGCGAGGAAGTGAAGGGTTTGTGGGGGGTCTCCGTGACCGGCTTGGGGCGAGACAAGGGAAACGTTAGCCGCCTGAACCCGAAGACACGCGGTCACGCCGCCTGAGAGGCCTGTGTGGTGCTGCAGCCTCCGCCCTCAAGTTCCATCTCCACTGTGGAATTGAGGCAGTTTGACACCACTTCAGTTGCCATTGGAGTGAGGCACTGGTGAGGCACTATCGCTCTTTGAGAGAGGAGACCTTGTAGAACTGCAGCTCTCAGGATTCTGATACCATTGCGCCATGGTAGATGAAGTGGTGTCAAACTGCATTAATTCCACAGTGGAGATGCACCCTTGGCCTCTGGGCCGACCTGTGAACATCTGTTGCTTTTCCTTTTGCAATTAAGTTTTGTTGTAAGGTAGGCCACAGTCCTAGAAAATGTCTGACAACAATCTAAAGCAGACCTGAGCAAACTTGGGCCCTCCAGGTGTTTTGGACTTCAATTCCCACAAGTCCTAACAGCCTACCTGCTCTTAGGAATTGTGGGAGTTGAAGTCCAAAAGACCTGGAGGGCTGAAGTTCATCCATGCCTGGTATACACTCATGTTTACCTTGTGTGTAACAATATCCATTCAATATGAATTTTAAATGTCACATGTTAGTGCACTAAACCACTGCATCAAATTAGAATGTTAGAAATCTATGCAGACTAGAAATGTGTTACTAAGGACTTCTCCTTGAGTCCCCACGGGGAGATAGGGATGCCTGGCCTGAGAGCAGTACGTGTGAAAAAGATCTTGGAGTCCTCGTGGACAACAAGTTAAACATGAGCCAACAATGTGATGTGGCGGCAAAAAAAGCCAATGGGATTTTGGCCTGCATCAATAGGAGCATAGTGTCTAGATATAGGGAAGTAATGCTACCCCTCTATTCTGCTTTGGTTAGACCACACCTGGAATATTGTGTCCAATTCTGGGCACAATTAAGAGAGATATTGACAAGCTGGAATGTGTCCAGAGGAGGGCGACTAAAATGATCAAGGGTCTGGAGAACAAGCCCTATGAGGAGCGGCTTAAGGAGCTAGGCAGGTTTAGCCTGAAGAAGAGAAGGCTGAGAGGAGATATGATAGCCATGTATAAATATGTGAGAGGAAGTCACAGGGAGGAGGGAGCAAGCTTGTTTTCTGCTTCTGGAGACTAGGACGCGAACAATGGCTTCAAACTACAAGAAAGGAGATTCCATCTGAACATGAGGAAGAACTTCCTGACTGTGAGAGCCGTTCAGCAGTGGAACTCTCTGCCCCAGAGTGTGGTGGAGGCTCCTTCTTTGGAGGTTTTTAAACAGAGGCTAGATGGCCATCTGTCAGAGGTCCTTTGAATGCAATATTCCTTCTTCTTGGCAGGGGGTTGGACAGGGGGTCTCTTCCAACTCTATGATTCTATGACTTACAAGTGACTTCTAGTTAAGAATGGATAAGACAACAGGAAGTGAGCAAAATCTACCCCTCAAAAGGGAAACTCATTCCTGGAAGAGTTATCAAAGGGAAAAGGTGTAATCAATATAGAGTTTAAAGATAACATGTTTAAGATTGGTGTTTGGAGTATGAGTATATTTCCCCTTCACAGGTTGAAACAAAAGGACAAGGCTCCCCACTGTCACAAAATGCACTTTGCCCCTTCATGTTGTTCCATTTCCCCCCTTGTGTTTACATTAATTTCTCTACTAATCTGCCTGCTAGTTGTAGATGCATTTGTTGAGGATGGTTCTGTTTCTTGAATTGACGCATATCCTTTCCTACAAACCTGCTTTCCACCATACAGTCCCTGAGTTACAAATATCCAACTTATAAATAACTCATAGTTAAGAATGAGGGTAAGACAGCAAGAAGTGAGAGAAATCTATCCCTAGGTAGGGGGATTTACTCCTGGAAGGAAAGGGGGAAAGGGGTCTCCACTGAAGCTTTCTCACCAATCCTTGTTTCCACAACAAATCAATTTTTTTTCAAAATGCAAGTATCACAGGGCAGAAAGGAAGGTGAGATCTTCTGACAGCGAAACAAACACCACAGATGTGTTAACCCTACCCTGTGCTATCCAAAACTAGATAGATAGATGGCTGGATACGCTTTAAAATGTACCTCTTCTGACTTACATACAAATTTAACTTAAGAACAAATTTACAGAATCTATCTTGCTTGTAACTTGGGTACTGCCTGTATTGAAAACTGCAATAAAGGGGGAGGGGTGCAGTATACATTAAAGTATTGACAAATTCGACACATCCAGGAGACAAATAAATACAGCGGGCACTTGGTATTTACTGGGGTTTTGTTTCAGAATACCTCATGGACACCAAAATCCATCGATACTCAAGTTCCATTATATACAATGACATAGTAAAATGATGTCCTTTATATCAGTATATAAAAGGATAAAATAAAATAAAAATTTAGGAATTTGGGGAAGGGGAATATTTGGGAGGAAATATTGAAGTTGTGGATGCAGACTTTATGGATACAGAGTGCTGACTGTTATTTTACTCCACATCCCATATCACAGGCCCCATCTACTCTGCGATATAATGCAGTTTCATAATGTAAACTGAATTGTACGAGTCTGCATTGTCATATAATGCCATTCAATGCAGTTAAACGGCATTATGAATCTGCATTATATGGCAGTGGAGATGGGGCCTAAAATAGGTAACTGCTCACCATAGGCAAAAAGGTTTCTTTTGCAGTAAAACCTAAACCTTGGTTGGGTTACAAGGTATGTCTTGCTCTTTGGCAGCTCTATTTTTTAAAAAAGGTCAAAATGTTCAATCAATCACATAGTGTGCTAACAAACATGCAAATGGACAATAAACAGTTTTAACAGGTAATTTAAAAGAAGTAACCTCATGTGTTTTTGTCTATCAGTTGGGACTACACTAGGTGACATCTGTTTGTTTTTCTGTGTCAGAAACATTGGCTTGTACTTCCAGTGAGGCAGTGGCTAACCTTGAGTGTCTGTTTGTTCCTTCAGTCGTTGCTCTTTCTCCTGCTGGCACTTTCAAATCTGTGCCAGTTCTGTGGGAAAAGTTGTAAACATAATGAGATGAGGAGTGCAAGGTATGCTAACGCTTTATAGGGTTTCTTCTGTAGCATGGAGATATGGAAACTGTTGCCCCATTCGGCTGTTTATGTTTTAGCGGAGGGAAACAGAAACTTCTATTGAGCAAAGTTAATCCTTCCTTTAGAAGCTTGAACTTGAAAGGTCACAGAAATTCAAAATGGCCTTCTCTATATTCACTCACTTTATTTCTTAATTCACTCTATATGTCAGTAAGACCAGGTAATGGTTTCCTTCTTCAGTGTTAAGAGCAGGCTACTAGTATCGAGAGAATAGTACTGTGCTCCTGCTCTTGTGGAACTTGTTTATGTGACTTGAATTACATGTAAGTTGAAATGCTTGAGGAACTGAAATGGTTGCTTTGTCAGCTGACAGGCATTTTGAGAAGAATATTTAGAGATATGAAAAGTAATGACATGTAGTTCTGTGAGTACACATGAGTTCTATGTTCTCTCAAAGTTCAGACAGCACTTTTGGTGAAACACTATAGTTCAGTAGTAGAGTCCTGCTTTACATACTAAAAGGCTCACCTTAAATCCATGGCACTTGCAGGAAAAAAGGATCAGGTGTGTTGTGGCAACCAATTGTTCCACAAATGAAAATGCTCAGCATCGTTTTAAAACTATAGATTAGGCACAGGATTACTGAAATATATTTATAAGCCTTACATCTTTATCACAGCAGAATTATAGAATTTTAAAATATTCCATTATGATTTTCAGAATGGATTTTTAAAATATATGGTTATAGACATCCAGCCTGAAAATAAGCTTTGCCAGACTAAATGGCACTTCAAAAGAATGGGGTGTGGGGGGTGTGGATGGGCATGTCTATACATGCCATTTTATAATGTTTCAGCAAAGTAGAATTCAGGATGTGCTGAGCTGATAATTTTGAATACATATCCTCCAGTTTTACGTAGTTTTTTTTTTTGTTTCATTCAGCCACCATTAAGTAATATCAAAAACTAGTAAAAAATTGAGAACTCCAGTGTGCCTTTTAGACAGGGTGAGCACCGCCCATTCCTTTTTTGTCTCCTTTGGTGTATAGACTGTTGGAAGGACTCCTGGAACAGCTTCCCTGGGGATGGGGTTTTTTGTTGTTGTTGTTTTTTACCCCTTTTAAGGGGACTTTTTTTGCTGCAGCAGACTTTCCCATACTGTTGTTTGCCGTCTATGAACTACAAGATACCTACATTTATGACAAACACATTTATTTATTTATTTATTTATTTATTTATTTATTTATTTTACGGCATTTATATACCATTTTTCTCAGCCCAAAGGCAACTCATAAACTATATTGTGTTTACATGCCACCTCAGAAATACAGGTACTGCAAAATTATGTATAAATCATGCTGCTGAGACTGCAGGCTTACAATTTAACAGGAAAATACTCAGAACAGGGAAAATATTTCATTTTTCTGAGAGACTGTAACAGTTATATTATACTTACAAACCAATTCATGACCATCCTTTGAGTATGATCCTTCTTGGATAATTTTATAATTGCTTCTCTCCTCTTTTTGATATTTGTATAAGCAGAAAAAAATCACTTCCCATGTGTAATTGGTTTAAGTCAGTGGTGGGCAACATAGATTGTATGTGTCCTGCTCTTCGTTCTTGTGATTTTGGATGCCATCCTGCTTGACAGTGTGGATGCAGTCCCACCATACATTATGATTTTCTTTTCTCATACTTTCTTAAAACAAACTACAACTTGGAGCTCTCCAGTTGCTATTGGACTTCAACTTTATCCTCACCTCCTGTTTATGTTAACTAGTACTGATGGGTTGCAGTCTGACAACATAGGATCAGTATACTGCTAAAATACAGTGTATGCGAAACAAGCACCTTGTATTTAAGGAAAATTGTGCTCCCAGACGTCTTCTAGAATAACAAGTCCGCTTTTAAGAGCCGCCGCAAACTAGGCTCCTGCGGGAGCAAACCTTGCCAGCACGTCCCTGACGTCATGAGGCTGCGCCTCTCGCCCCACCCCTTTCTCCGTGCCAGAGTGGTTTTTCCTTTGCTAGGGCAGCATTGGCCGAATTCAACTGAGAGAATATGCTGGCAATGCTGCCCTAGCAAAAGAAAAACCACTCTGGCACGGAGAAAGGGGTGGAGAAAGGGGCGGGACGAGAGGCGGAGTCTCATGACGTCAGGGACGTGCTGGCAAGGTTTGCTCCCGCAGGAGCCTAGTTTGCGACGGGTCTTAGAAGAGACCTGTGCTTCTCACTTGCTTTACTTTAAAGGGGGAAAGGTTAGCTTTTGGTGATACATAATGATAGATTATTAGCATTTTTTTCTTTTAGAATTGTGTAGCAAAATGCAGTGTGGCATTTTTAATTAAAGACAGCTTTGTAGCAAAACTGACAAAGATGCCATCTTCAAGGGCACTTTGGAGAGGCTTCCACATCACTTAAATGTGTTTTATTCTGTAAATGGTCCTCCATGACATTTACGGAACAAATTCACCTTGTTTTCAACTGTCTCTATCACCTGGGGAGGTCCAGGAGAGGGGTTGCATTATTTGCAGGAAATGTTGAAGTCATTATTAGTGTTAAGTATTTGTTCTTTGAAATGGTTTCTTCATGATTTCAGGGAGTTTCATATAAATATTCTTGTTTATAAATGTTTTTTCCCAGTGTGACTATGGAACATCTGCATCCCAGCAAACTACGGTGGTTCACTTACAAGTTTGAAAAGGCTCTCTATTGTTCTAGATGATCTACTGGATGACGTACCTGTTTAGAGTAATGTTAGAACAAGTTGGGTTGACTATGGACTCGGTAAGTGTGATGCACATAGTGAAATATTTACATAACTGAAAGCATAGCAATATATTCAAGATAAACATAGCTTCTCAACTCATTGAGGCAAAAAAAAAATCAAAAACTATTTGGTACTCGGATACCATTGAAACCTGTGATTTAAATTAGAAGTGGGAATCATGTGCCTCTCAGGATATTTTTATAGTGATAAAAACAGAATTTAAGACATTGTGTTTCCCAAAAACTATTTGTTAAAACTATGTGAAAGGCAGATCTTTTAATGAAATTATGTACAGATTATTACAATTCTCAGTTGTTCTTTCCCATTCTTAGGTTTTTTATGGTAGAAAGAAATAAAAGAAGAAATAAAATATTTTTCTTTGTTTGACTAGTTCTAAAGTAATTATTTCTTCTGATCATTGCCTACTCCTCATAAATTAGTAAAACCAAATTGTGTGAACTGAAGACATTTGTTCCTGTTCACATGATCCTTACAGTTTAAGATCTTGTAGCTCCCTTTGTAACACTTTTTTAAATATCAAAATTGTAATGGTAATGATCTATTACAGGATACTTAGAATACAAAATAAATCCTATTTCTTCAGTGCGTCTACTGTAGTTGAAATTAGCAATTTCACTAAGGCATTCTTCAGAATGGTAATTCTGCCTACACTGAGGGAGGCACTACCCTGTCTCTGTCTCTATCCAGACTTGGTTGTAGTCGCATAGCATATTATAACTGTGGTCTTGTGTCCACTTGTGAATGTCGGTATATTGCACTTGGCCATTGTTAAAGCATATGTGTCCCTTAGTTACGTAAGCTTGAAGTGCAGTTTGAAACATGTTTATTAGCACCGAGTAATTCTACATTTACTGAGCTTTATTTCCAGGAAACTGTTTATCATTCATTTGATTTGCATAAATGCTTAAACAAATTATATTTTGTATAAAACTGAGCAAATGGCCTCTCTCTATAATAAAATATTTTCCACCTTTTCAGCTTTGGTCAAGTAAGCCTTATGGCCCAAATAGAAGTATTGTACGGAAAATAGGCACCAACCTCTCACTGATACAGTGCCCAAGGGTTCAGTTTCAGGTAAGAAATTTAACTTTTGTTGTTGTTCTGATTGGAGTAATTGATTAATCTGGTCTAGGAATTTGAAGCATCTGTGAATTTGAAGGCAGTGCCAAATACCTCTCAAGTGACAAATGTTATTGTTTATTCTAATAACAAACTCGAGTAAGTTTGCTTCAATTTAGAAGCAAAACACACGCACACATACACCAAAAAAAATAAGGCAATTGTTTCCATATATCAGGAGATTTCCCAGATTAGGACAATGTTTGTGAACATGTCTGGTAAACAAAACTGAGAAGAATTAGCCTCCAGAATGTACGATAGGTATATCTCAGTTAACAAAGAAGTGTCCTGGAGATTACTTTAACAGAAAAATTGATACTAAAGGTAGAAATAGCACAGAAAGGAGTAGATTTTTTTCTCTGGGAGAAAAAAGAACAGTCTGTTTCAACAAACTTTATATTGAAAACTAACTGTGTACACACAGTACATACTCATGTATAAGGTAAGGATCACTCTGCATAGAAGTAAAAGTACTAATGTTGCCTTATGGCCAGCAGCCCCTGAATGCCATCATTTTCCCACCCAAGTGTTCAAAAATGGCAGAAGTAGCACCATGGCAGAGAGAGTAGAGTTAGTGTTTCTTTTGGGTTCTCGCAAGACAGACTAAGCTTTTGACACTACTTGGAAAATATGATGGCTCCCTTTTTTGGTGAGGATTAATTATTTTTGATAGTATTATTAAATATCTGCTGAGCTTACCCAGTAAATACACCGATCTTTGTCTGCAACATTCATTTGATAGGTCAATATCACTAGATTTTCTGATGTACTTCTAGTACAAGTTTTCACTCAGAATGAAGAATTTTTGGCCTGTAATTTCCAATAGTACTAGTTGGTAAAGTAAAAAAAATGTTGTAGTCTAAAGCATCTGAAGGGAAAAATTCCTCACTTCAGTCTGTACTTCACAAGGGAATTGGCAGCCTGTATAAAGAAAACTGTGCATATTACAGAAAATTGATGCTGTGTTTTTATTTGTTTCTAAGACACTTGCTGTCCAAATATTCTGCATGCATTTTGTGTAGCTTTTTGTAGAATAACTTATATGGAGTACTTTATTGCAATTGTTTTTCTGCGTGCTTGTCTCTATTAAAATCAGAATTTGGCAGAATCTGGGAGCATTATTTTGTCTGCAATCCAAGTAGCAACTTTTATGTTTGATTAGGGCTTGATATGTGGAATGAGTACACGAGGAACTGGAAATCCTAATGAATCATTCATTGTATGTCAAGATCCCATTATTTTCTGTGAAGCTTTGAAGAATAGAGTTGAGTAATGGTTTAATAACTTGGGCTTCTTGGACTGAACAAAGTATAAATATGTATGATACATATATTGCTGCCAAAATCTTCTATACACTCAAAGAAGAGAACTGCATAGAATAGTTTTGGTGAGACTTACTTCTAGGTAAAGGAGTATCGTCTCGGCCACTAAAAAGCTACCATATGCTTCAACTCTATGCCCAGAAGAATTAAACAAAGAGTAATAGTAATTGGAGGATTTCTATGCATCCCTCCTAAATGTATCCTACACCAGGGATGGGAATCAAGCATGGAACAAAACAGTAAAAAAAAAAAAAAAAGGCGAATGGCAGCGCCAGCTTGTAGAAGATGGCAGTATTTTTCTGTTTAAAGGGCAGGTGAATGCACTTGACATACATATTCTAAATAAAACTGTCTCAGAGGTTTTTTTAAAGGTATTATAAAATAATGGATACGTTCTTCAACATAAAATTCAGGATTATGTTTGAAATCTTAATTATTTTGTGAAACACTTCTCCCTATGAGTTAGGTTATTTCCACAGTATTTGCAAATTGTGGGTGCTACTGATCATCCAAAGATCTGATTTTACATGTTCTTGCTCTTTTGCTCTGTATTGATGGCAGTTTTAAAGAACTGTTTCCTTTTAATGCTATACAGGCAGTTCTGAAGTGATGGTTAATTTATGTGATTTTACAATAAACCTCATTCTTCAGATTTGAAAGTGGGATGGAGAAAATCTTTCAGTGAAGACTACATTAGACATTAGTTCAATGTTTCTATTGTGCTCATATGACAGTAGCACTTAATTTTACTGGAACCATGTGGGTTGTAACAATTGACTTTGCGGGGAATAATGCATTCAAGAAACAAGTCACAAATTTAAAGCTTAATTTGTAATGCACATTCAGATCAGCTTAGTCGTACGGTGCATGATTTGTTAAAGTAATCATTCCATCCTTTTACTAAGGTTAAAGAATATTTCTTTGTTGGTTCATATGTCTTCATACCTACTTGTTTCACTGTTTCCAATCTTTGGTGAAATATCAGTGAGGTTTTTTAAAAACGTATTTGGCTAAACAAAGGCCTTTTAATAAAAAGATAAGAGAGGACGGTTCTCTTTGTAAAGGTGATAGGCAGAAATAGCGGAAGGGGTTCATTTCAGCTTGCTTTTTGAACTTGCTTCCATCCTAAGAGCAAAAGAACGTTTGTAAACCCATAAAGACATTTCTAACAAAGAAGGAAGGGCAAGAGCAGCAAGCAGGCAAGTATGATATGGAGGTATTGCTTACTTGCCACCTAAAATAATGGAGCCCCCGTTGGTGCAGTGGTTTAAACTCTTGTGCTGACTGTCAACTCCAGCTCCTCATGCAGGGACATGAGAGAAGCCTCCCACAGGATGGTAGAACTTCTGGGCATCCCCTGTGCAACGTCCTTGCAGATGGACAATTCTCTCACACCAGAAGCGACTTGCAGTTTCTCAAGTCACTCCTGACACGAAAAACAAAGCAAACTTAAAATAATGTATTTTTCAGACCATAATGGTTTTCATTCCCTTTTCTGAGTAGAACGGAACAATAGTTTAATGTGGCACACAGTAAGAGAATCAATTTTTGGTGCTCTCTACAAGCTCAGATATGTATTGACTGTTCTCTTTAGTTTCTCTTTGTACTGAAACTTTCTATAGCGCTGTCTTTCCATTTTCTCTTTTTCGTTAGCTTTAACTATTGTATCAAAGGATCATGCACTGAACTTGCTGTAAGTCAGTTTTGTCTTTTCTCTTTAAACTTGTTCACACTATTAATGCATGTGTGTGCTTAAACCTAATTGCTTTTGAGAATTGTAGATTGAATAAACATCTTCAGCCATAATTGTCTTACTTATGTAATTGTTTGTTTGCTCTTCTTATTTTCTTCTTTAGTTTATATAACAAGTTGAAGATGTGCAGGAACAAGTTTGCTAGTCTTTGTTCTTCTGTTGTGGGGAAAAAAGAATGTCAGCCCACTCTCACGCAGTTTTCCTAGAAATAAAGCCTCTGCATATGCTGGGACTGGGCACAGGTTTATGGTGCATGAGACTGGAAAGTCAAAGTACAATTAGGGCAAGATAAAAGATGGAAGGTGTTAAGGATGCTTCTCAAGTGCTGTGGGTGCTACTTTTGGCATAGTGCTTGCACAAGCCTATCATTCAAGTATAATTGCCTGTCAGAATTGAGGGCCTCACAAAATGCAGATACAGGGTTTGAGTTTGTGCTTTAGTATATCTACCTCAAAATATTAGATTGATCCAAAAATGACATTCTTCACAATTAGTTGGTTTCATATCATGGTTAAAGATTAATTATAGTTTCTTTCTCTTTTTTTAAACTCAGTAAATAGCTAGTCTTTACTCTTCTTTTTCCTATATTTCTATAACTATTATGTTCTCCTACTTTCTCTGTAATGAAAATCTCAATAAAGACTATAAAAAAAGATTAATTATAGTTGTGGTATTTTAAATTGCCACACCATAGTGAAACAATTGCTTCATTCATAGAGACTGACATCTAAACAAATAAACAGTTCTGAACAATTCTTTACATTTAGAATACTGAACCATGGTTTATATCCTAAAATCCGATGAGTATAAATTAGTTTGCCATTATGTCTACATAAACATCTAAAGAAAGAATTTAAACCTCTACTTTTTTGCTTATAATTATTATTGTCATCTGTTAATTGTTGTTATTGCTAGAATTGCTGTCTTGTTAATTGATGTTATTGTCCTTTGCTGTTATGTGATGCGGGCATCGAATTGTGCCTCGCTTTTGTAAGCCGCCCTGAGTCCCCCCGGGGGTGAGAAGGGTGGGGTAGAAGCAACTGAAATAAATAAATAATAAATAATTCAACTTGCTTTTGTATCATTCTTCAAAGCCATGTCATAGTAACCCAGCAATTTCTAGAGAGGAAACAATTATTGTAAGAATCATGTAGAATATGTCAGAGCAAGTCTCTGTTTTTCATCTAGGTTCTTAAATCTAAAAGAATTTTTCATAAGTCTACAGCAGGTTTCATGCAGGATTATAAAGACTTCCATAATTCCTAAGCAACAGCATCAACTCCTCAGATATCTGCATGGTGCTTTCTAGTTATCTAGAAAGCATACTTGGGCATCATAATTGATTTACGTAGGCACATCCACCTGATGGCTATGTAGTCTTGTTTGTAGTATAGGTTGCACTATCCTATGGAGTGGTTTAATTCCTTTATTCCTGTTTTGAAATACAGTATTACTAACTAGAACAACTTGAATGGCATTTGGTAAGAAAACACCATAAATTTCTTGTGCAGTTCTATCATGTGCTGAAAAATATATTAGTATGATTTTTTTAATTTGAATTTTCATTTGCTTGAAAATACTGTTTTCAGCACTTTGTTTTCAGATACTTGATAAAATCAGGATATTTGTAATACAACAAGCAAGTTAATAAGTTGAGTGACTCTTCCAATTTACAGTACTTAGTCATTGTAGAGTTTAGTGGCAAATTTTTGCATATATTGCCAGGCATAAAACAGCTGTTTATGAAAGTCTGCATTGTGCTGAAAACTATATTTTTATCTCATTGATTGTGCTCATATGAAAAGTCCTCTTAGCATTTCTGCAATCTTCTTTGAAACCTTGTTCCCTGGTGTGACCTGTATTGTTTATTTCTTTAATAAAAGGAAAGAAATATACTCATAGAAGTAAGGCTATGTGAACCTTAGCTTAGCATAATACAGTATTTTTTCAGAAAGCCCAAGAAGCGGCTCTAATTTTTAATACTATCTACTCTACTTAGCTTACTTCTCAGCATTCAGAAGGCAACCATTTTAAGCAACCAAGAGAAGATGGAGTAATCTCTCTTGCAGATGTAGGATGGGTTGCTGAAGAGGAAGGTGAAGTCAGTACTCGGCTCAGGTATGTTTCTCAAGTCCTTTGTGACCAAGGTGTTTGCCTTAGGACCTCAATAAGTCAGCAAATAATAAACAGATAAGCTATTTACTTAAATGCCAGTGAGTGTTATTAAGGGAAGCATAACATGACAGCTCCATAGATTGTAGAAGACATTCTCAACATTCAGCATCTAGGGCTATTGTAGTGCACAAAAAGCACAATTCAAAGGTAGCATTAGTATTACTTCAGTTACTCTGTGTAGGTGGAATCGCAATATGACTCAAGCCCAGAGGAATGCCTTGGGGTATTTGAGATCCAACTTCAAGTAGGAAGAGTAGGGAATGGCATGGTAGTGGGGTAACTAGGCTTATTCTTCATTCCATTAAGCAAGAAGTGGCTATGGAGACACCCGCAGAGATGCTACTCCTCTGTTCTGCCTTTGCACATACCAGCCTGCCACTTTTGTAATGTGTCACAGAATAGGTCTCACTGAAAGTCTATGATCTTACAATGATGATGACAATTGAAATAATTTTTACTGTTGTATGTCACATTTATAGAAAGGTGAAAAACAGTAGTGGCGTCTTAATTTTAATAATCCAATTTTCAGAATTTGTTTTGAAGTGGAAACTGTTGCATTTCAGTCTTGGCAGTTAGAGTTTGGCTTGTGTTCTAACAATTGAGTCTGATCGCCAAATTGACATTTGTTGAATAAGTTGGTTCATTAAGTTTTCAAAACTCAGAACAACCTCCTGCATGTGTTAAAAATCCACTTTTCCCTGGGGTCGAAACTCTTTGAGATTCCTGTTATATGTATACAAATGAGAACTTTTGTATTAATATATTTCGTGTGCTATGTAGCCATTGTCTTTATTATTTCTTCATACCTCTGGTAATGGACTGGAATGTGTAAATAATAATTCAGTTCAGTTTCTCCTTCTTGTCTTCATGTGTAATTTCTTTGTTCAAAGACTACAACTTGTAAATCACTTATTGTGAGTCCAGGGAGATTGAAATATTCTGCAACTGGTTTTTGGATATTGCCATTTCTAGTGTCACATATGCATGCATTAATCTTATTTAGTGTAATACTGTCCTGGTAGTCCAATGTAGTGTGGAGGGGCATTGCTAGCATAGGGTGGAAATATCACTATTACTCACAGAATAGATGTCGGGACAACAGCAGTGCAGATTTAACTGACAGTGATCAGGATGTGTCATCTAGATTTGTGGGTGGGTCTTATCCCTGTAGTACCATCCATGTTTTGTATCCTGTTGTAAGTAAGCAGTTTCAAATATGCAGGCTATTTATAGGTCAATAAAGGCTTGCCTCCAAGGACTTGCTATTCTCCAGAATTCAGTAATAAGTTGCATTGCTTCTTAGTGGATTTATGCTAGTAAATACTGGTATTACCCTTGTGTTTCTTGATTACAGATCAGAAATATGGCTCAAATCCGAATCGTTCTGTAAAAATGAAGACTGTTCAGGAAGAGACTCAAATGATCAAATACCAAAAAAGTCACAGGACAAAGAAGACTCCAATAATGCAGTAGCTACAAATGATAAAGCTTTGCAGAAGATTAGTGAATTAGAAAACGAACTTGCTAGTTTAAGAGCACAAATAGCCAAAATTGTAAGCTTTCAGGAAAAACAGAATTTGATGGCAGGTATTGTTCCTCCTTACTTTGATAACCAAAGTACTTTTATATATCTTATATTTAAATGACTTTCATTCCAGAACATACTATTCATTTGGGTGCAGGGACTTTGTTGTATTATAAATGCTGGCCTCTTAAAAATTGAGTTACAGTAGCCAATTTCTTATCTAACTTTCATGAAATGAGAGGCCTGAATACAGGATGTGTCTTGCTGTTATGTTTTTTCTGACTAAAGTAATTGAAACATAATTTTTGTTTGGTCTTGTTGGTGTGCCTTCATGTCATTTTCCATACGGCAGATGATTTGTTCAGAGAAGGTTTTGCCTTTGCTTTCCTCTGAGGTAGAGAGAGTATGATTTACCCAAGGTCACCCAGTAGGTATTCATGACTGATTAAAAATTCGTACCCTGGTCTTTCCAGAGTTGTAATACAACACTTGAACTGCTAAACCACCCTGGCTGTCAGTATAATCTGTAATCCACACCAATTAGATAGAAATTGGAAAAGTTTTTCAGTTCCAATAGGCCTTAACTAGAATAGTATTTCAATCCATTTGAATATCCTTTGTCTTATAAAGTTTGTTTCTTTTAAAGACAGATCTATAAGATGATGAGTATTTATCTCCTGACCAGTGTCAGTTTAATCTGCACTGCTCTGACTGCTTAGTCAGGAAATAATTTGCATAATGTTGACTGGCATGACTGGTGTACAAGCATTTACAGTGGGATGACTTATGTCAACATGTACCTCCAAAACCAGGTCATTGATACACCTCAAGGGATATTCAGCAATCATTTCCCACAGCTTCTTGCACTGGAGAGGTAATAGTGCAAGACTGGAGATTTGACTGGGGTTTACTTTTGAAAAGCGAGTTATTGTTTTCTAAGAAAAAACATTGTGTCTTATTTAAGTCTGCAATGTTGTCACAGCTGGAATAGATTCTGCTGCATCAGCTTATACCTCAACATTGCCGCCGCCGCCGCCACCACCACCACCTCCTCTGCCACCTCCACCACCGTTTCAGCAGAGTACCAATGCCATTGACCTTATTAAGGAGCGCAAAGGGAAAAGAATGAAATCGGGTCAGACTTTACAGGATAGTGAGCCAAAGAAGCCTGAAATACCAAATATGCTAGATATCCTCAAAGATATGAACAATGTAAAGCTGAGATCAGTGAAAAGGTGAATGCATGTTTTCTCTTTCTTTGGCTTAATTGTAGGAATCAATGTAAAATTACATCCAGTTGGAATGTTGCTTATTGGAAGGTACCTGCTCTTTTAAGTAACAGCCTTCACCTCAATATTTTCTGTGATTTCACCAGAGAAAAGGCCTTGAACTGGGGAAAGGACTGTTGCTGCTTCTGCTGCATAACAGATGGGGAATGACATAGTAGATGGACAAAAAATCTGAATGAAACTGATCTGTATGAATCTAATTTTAGTTTTTGTTTTGTTTCCTTATTTTTAAGGCCAGATGAAAGAACAAAAAGAAAAACGGACCCTACTGATCCTGCATCAGTAATAGCTGAAGCTCTTAAGAAAAAATTTGCATATCGATACCGCAATGACAGCTCAAATAAAAATGAAAAACAGACTACAGCCCCTGAAGCCAGGCCAGTAAGTGCTGTGTCCAAATAGGGATTCACTAGAAACGGCATCATTTTAAACTGAGTGGCAAACTTTAGATCCCCTCCTGCACGTTCTTCCTTGAATTATATTAACTTAACCCAGAGTTTGACATCAGGATTTAAAGCTAATTACTGTTTTTTTTTTTGGGGGGGGGGGGGGGTTTAGAGGAAGGGTGAAGATGTGATGCCTGGACTAGCTTCCAGGCAAAGCTTATCCTGCCTCATGTTTGGGGACGAGGGCACTGTGTAGGCCACTATAAGAACTCTACTTCTAGTTGCCACATCAGCACAAGACAACATGCTTGGAGGATGTTGCCCATCCTCCAATTCTGCAAACAAAATTAGGCTCTCATCAACAAGCATCTGACCATGCCCTGTTTTTGAGTGTGTATTATGCTTGTGAAAGGAAGCGTGCAACTCTCTGCATTGGGATAACAACAGGGAAACAATGTTTCTTGATATTAATTACATGGGATGAAAGCATCCTCCATCTCAGTGATGGTATTGCGGATTATGAGCAGGAGATTTTGCTGTCGGAATTAAAGACCCAACTCTTTTAACAGGCCTATCCAGTCAATTATAACTTGAGAATTTTAACTGCAGTAATTTTAATCTGCATTTTACCTGTGTATATCTGTTATACGTGTTTTAATCGAGTCCGGTTTTATCATGTTGTACCCCGCCTTGAGCCACAAGGAGAGGAGAGTAAATAATAATAATGATGATGATGATGATCATTATTTGGAGGTTTTTAAACAGGCTAGGTGGCCTTCTGTCAGGGGTACTTTGAACGCAATATTCCTGCTTCTAGGCAGGGGGTTGGACTGGATGGCCCATGAGGTCTCTTCCAACTCTATGATTCTATGATGATGATGATGTTGTAGCGGGTCTATTCAAAATCACTAGAATATGGGTGACATTAAAGCAGACATAGGTATCTGTTGGAAGATTTTAGCCCCTAGGACAGAGCTTTCCAAACTTTACATGTTGGTGACACGCTTTTTAGACACGCCTCTTTTCACAACATGGTAATTCAATTTTACTAGCAACCCAAAAGTTAAACCAACCCCTTATAAGAGTTTCATATTTTTAATGTGTGTGTGTTTCATATAATATTTAATATATGAACAAGAATTGATTTTTTTTCCTTTACACTATGGTTGATTCTTGTATAGTTTCCTCTATGGCCCTTCCATGTGGTTTGTTACAAGCATTATTGTCAACAGATTTTATTTTCTTAATAGGAAACTTATCCATTTTAGTGATAATTACTGCAACTCAATCAACCAATTGTGCAAATTATAAACCTTGTTACAGTATCTACATTTGAACGGCACCGGCACTCCACTTCTGTAATGATTAAATCTCTCTGGAGGTTTTTAAATGAAGGCTGAATGGTCACCTAGGGGTGCTTTGATTGTGTGTTCCTATCTGGCTGCAGGGGGTTGGGCTGGATGCCTTTTGGGGGTATCTTCCTCCTCCTTGCTCTCCTCATCATTCCCACTCCCACCCCATAGCTAGGGCGGTTGCAATGGGGCCAAAATGGAGAGCTGAGAACAAGGAGGAGGCTTGGCACTGCCCGAGTGGCTACTGCCACTGTTGCTCTTGCTTCCTCATCCTCCTTCAGAGGCGGCCAACATGTCCCCTCAAAGTGGCTGCCAATGTCAGCCAGATTTCCTGTTTCAATAAACAGGCATCTCCTGAGAAAAACATGGTGAAAATGCCATTATTTCTTTTAGAGGCCATTTAGATACAAAGTAAATTAACCCTTGTGTGTTATACTTTGCCCACACCTGGGTGAAAGTCTCCCCATCAGTGTCAAAGAGTCCATATTCATGAGTGGCTACTGATTTCTCAGGAGATGTCTAATGCAGTCCTCAGAACTACAAACATTTATCCTTAGTTTAGCTTCTCTCGGGAGCATGAGGAGCCAAGTAAAGGTGGTCAGTTAGCATACAGAAGCATGCTACATGATAAACCAGTATTTTCAGCAGTTCTTTCTTGTTTTCATGATCAACTAGTGGAAGAACCATATGCAAGAGATCCTTTTGGATTTCATATTTTGCTATAGTATGCAGCAGCTAACTCAACCTGATGATGTAGTTTTTAGGCTGTTGATTTTTTTTTTTAAAAAAAACAGCTATAGCCCAAAAGGCACCAAGTTGATATATGACATTATTTTCAGTATGCATTATTTCTTCTAATTCTCTTTTTTCCCCTCACAGTTTGGGCCACACATGCTGAAGTCTACAGGAAAAATGAAGACTCTAATTGACTAGTGAAAAGTATTAAGCAGAAGAAATTTACTACACTTCAAAAGGGCTTTTTTGGAAAATCAGTCTTTATATCTGTGAACCTGAACTGAAATGTGCCTCTTGCTTCCACTAGTATTTATTCTAAGGAAAAGCTAAAAGCTCTGGTAAAACAAACATGAAACAATATGTTTATGAACACTAATTTATCTATTCCGATGTCTTACAAAATGACATCCTTACACTTTTCTAAACACAGTGTCATACTATTTAAATTATAGTTCCAGTGAAGTGGCTGGAATGATCTAAGACCAGTCTTCTGCACTTGATTTTAGCTTATTGGACTTTTCACTTACAACTGCTCTAGCTATGCTGTTATTCACTATGAGTAAGACAGATTTCAGTATATTTATTGCTCATCATTACAGGCTCCAACACTTAGTATGTTTTACCAAGTGAGCTTTTAATGAAGCATCTCCTTGCTTCAAAACAGGCTGCTTTGGCAACATGCTTATAAGCAGTAAAACAGCCAAAGTATAGGATGAATAATAATTGTGATTTCCTTCCAGAATAGCCATGCTGTTACAAGAGATCTAAAATGCTGCATAATATGCATTAGCAAAATACAGGAAGCTAAGACAAATTGCAGTTTACTAGTTAAGGCAATGTATGTTAAACTTTGCAAAGGTACTTTAAATGAGATGGTAAAGATGACGGTAACACCAGGTTGTATTTTGTTCTTCCATTTATTGTGACAAACCAAGGTGCTACTCAACTCATCCTTCTTGATTTCTTACCAGTTTCATCCAGCACTCTTTCTCCATTGTTGCCAGACGTCAGGAAGGGATTGAGCTCTAATGAGAATGTGAAGAGAGGGAAGGCTATCTACACCCTTAGTTTAAAAATCACTTAAGTGTTAGGTAACTTAGCTCAAATCTGCACATAATACTGTGCCACACTTTGCACCAGAAGATTGTGGCCCTTGTGTTCACTGTTTGTGATATGCAGCATTGCTAGGAGTGGCTAGTTTAAACGGCTGCCCAGTATAGTAGGAAAAAAGATCCAAAAAAGAATTTGGTGTTGGAAGAAGGAAAATACTGCTTTCAGAACTGATATATTTTCAAAATGCAGCTCCTCTCAAGGTCTCCTAGTCTGTACTTTTCAGCATTTGTATTTTAGAAATGTGTTACTTAAATGGCTCAAAGTATGTGGGAAAATATACAGGACATTGCTATAAACATTTAAGTGCTGTAATGTTCCTCAAATATTTTAAGGCATTCATTTTAAAGTGTTTTATAAAAGATGGTTTTATGAACTATTTTCTTTCGGATCATGAAAAAAATAGTTTGTTTATAATCTTGTGACTAATAAAAAGATTTAAGTCAAACACTTATTTTCATTTTGAGTTTTAACGCATATCCTTCCCTGACCAATTTGCTTCCATGCAGTTAATACAGGGTTCACTATTAGAGATAGCACCCAGGACACCCCATGCAGTCGTGCCGGCCACATGACCTTGGAGGTGTCTATGGACAATGCCGGCTCTTCAGCTTAGAAAAGGAGATGAGCACCACACCCCAGAGTCAGACATGACTGGACTTAATGTCAGGGGACAACCTTTACCTTTTTTTTTTACCCAGGACTGTGAAGTCGGTTCACCAAACCTTTGACCCTTTCATAAATGGGAAATGTTAATTAATGCAGGTTGAGAGTGCACTTACACTGTACAATTAATGCAGTTTGGAATTTGTAGTTTGGTGAGACAGAGGAGGATAAGACCTTTTAAAATTACAGCTTCCAGTTAAAATGGTGTCAAATTGCATTAATTCTACAATATAGATGCACCCTAAGTATCACTTATCTGCAGATGCTGGTTTTAAGATGCAAGTGTATACATAACAGCAAAACATTTTGGAATACTTTGTTTCAGATTTGGCATGCTCAACATATGACATTACTATAATGAAACAACATCAAAAAAGGCATAATATCATTATGATATGAATTATTTGGTGCTTAGATAAAACACAGAACATAGAAGATATTGTAAGTATAATATATTTGCCACATATTGTTATAATATGCTTATTTTGAAGCCAGGGTCAGTACATTTCTGCAAACGCCTAACTTTACAGCCCTGATACCACCTGAAACTCATGTTTTAAGGTTCTTAAGAAATTAGCAAAAAAATGTTGCACAGCTGTCACTCAGACTTTGCAGCAAAGTCATGGAATCTAGCTGTATGGTAACTGGAGAGTTAGGTTTTTCTAATGCCAGTATTGCAAGGATGAAGAAATGTGTGGCTCTTCTAATGTCACTGGACTATGACTCCCTTCACTCATCAATAATATGCTGCTTTGAGTTGCAGTGTAACAGCCAGAGGACCAAAATCCTCACTAATTTTAAAGGTATTGCAGGTGAGAAGCTTTGACCCAAGGTCAGTTACTGAGTGTCTAGCAGTTGCAATTTAACCTCAGGATTGCCTGCCTTGCAGGCACTATGTACTTAAGGCCATCTTCAAACCCTACCTATAAAGGCATATGGAGCCATGATATTTCTTGGCTGGTGACTGTTTAGTAAGGTTTTGCTCTGTTTCTCACTGTCAGTCTTTCTCATTTTAAATTGCGTAAGAGACACTTCAACTTGTCAAAATGAGATCCTAAAATAGCTATAGGCAATCATAGAAGCCTACACAGTTAAGTAAATGCAGTCAATCATACCATGCAACTTTAAATTTCTACAGTATGTTAAATATCAAAGTTGTAAGGCTGTCAACAATATACTGAGATGGCTTGTGTCAAATCTAGCTCACAAGGACCCCTTTTATAACAATTATTTCTTGATGGCAAGTAATAGGTTTTCTTAGAATACACAACATAGTTTTAATGTACAATGGATCGTTTTTTCAGTTAAGCTACTTAACAGGAACTAATAGTTGATATCTGTGGTTCATAAATCAAGAAGACTATGAAGCATACCAATTTGCGATCACAATTTATTCTTTGCTAGCTACTTAAGGCTATGGTAGTCAATTCCCCAATTGATCCTGCAAGCACATGTGTTCAGCAATTATTAATATGAGGAAAATGGATTAGCTTACCTTTTGATATTGACTTTAGGGTTTTAAGAGGCCAGAGCCTGTCTAAAGTTATCCTACCTGAAAAATATTATTAGCTAGTTGGGTGGAATTTTCAATGATCATTTACTTTCTTGGAGCCAAGATTTAAGACGAGTAATTTACTTCAAAAGAGATAAGAAGTTAAAAAGATGTATCAAAAGATTCTGCTTACTATACCAAGATGCAGCATTCCAGATATGGAACAACTTAAAGTGCGATTTTCTCAAAATGAACCTACGTGAACACACTTAAATAAATTCCAAGGTTTCATGTTGAAGTACTGCTGCATCAAATTCAATTTTGATGCAGCAATGTAACTATACTTTTCTCCTTATTTTGCTATCTATTTTAAGGCACAATTTGCCTTCTATTAGTGTACATTAACACATCCAAAAACATATCCAGAATTTTTTTGGGAGATATGATTTCTCTAACCTTATTCTCTTAAATTATTACCTAGAAAAGGGGGGGGGGAGGTATTAGAGCATGGGAGGCCTGATGTAGTGTAAAGTGGACACAAAAAACATTGCCTATTTGCCTTTCCAGGGGTAAAAACTTTCCACTGGATCAAAAGCCTTTTATAGAGAGAATGTGCTTTTCCATTCACAAAACACATTTAGATCCAACGCATAGACTACAAAGCTAACTTATGCCATGCTATCTAAACTCCAACAGATAATAAGGCTGAAATGAATACCCACTTGCAGCTGAGCCAGGATAGAATTTGCATATTAGTATGGTAGGACCAGCAGAGATGTAAACAGAGTATTTACACTTTTATTATAATAAAAAGGAGAAACATCTCCCCATACTGAGTTGAATTAAGAACTTAGAATCTTTCCTTCACACATAGTATTCATTAAACAAAAACATCCCCATGCAGGGACATAAGAGAAGCCTCCCACAAGGCTGGTTAAACATCAAACATCCAGGCATCCCCTGGGCAACGTCCTTGCAGACGGCCAATTCTCTCATACCAAAAGCGACTTGCAGTTTCTCAAGTCACTCCCGACACACAAAAAATCTCGGAATTTTGGTTCTCATGACATGCAAAGCTGTCCTATATTTCATATGCCTCTGTATCCTACCTGTTCCATAAACCAAGTTGGAAGCATGTGGGCCTGTACTATCCAATTCGGATGGCAGGTGGGCTACATTACTTGATCCACAATACATGGCAACTACAAAAAAATTACATAGTAAAAAAATAATTACAATGAATTTTAAAAGCTTCACCTTATCCTAGAGTCTCTTATATCCAACGTTTCCTGGTAGATAAGGTATACAGGGTCCCATGAGAGAACAGGCAGATTTTTTAAAAATCAAAATAAACGTTTAGCCCCACATACCCATTAGCTGAATCATAAGATGACTAAGCCAAAAGTATATTTTTCTTTCTCTGATGTAGCTAAGAACCCTTGCATATTTTTCCCTGTTGTTCCAGATGCAAGAAAGTTCACATTGCCAAAATTAAAACACACTTAAAAGTTAAGGTCTATTTCCTCCAAATCAGAAAATGGACGCTCTAGTTGAATTCAAGAAGTTCATCCTAAGTTATCTCGATTTCAGTGTGCTGAAAATGAACAGAGAAAGTCATTAAACTGTATGATCACACAAGGAGACCCCTGCTTGTGCAAGAGGAGATTCTCTTCTATTCATCACTTACATACCCTGCATATGATCTGGAAGAGTAGGGGGAGGTTACATGAAGGATTGCCTAGTTTTGTGCACTCCTATGAATGCAACCCACTTTGGTATTTCCACTGAACACCCCCTATGTTTACTGCAGTAAAAAAGAAAAGACAGGGAGAGCAATTGTGATCAAAGTGGTTCCAACTACTTATCTGCATCAAAGGCAAGGCTCAAGAGATAATGTGAAAAGTTTTTTTATTATTATTAATCAAAGGTTAACAGCAACAGGCACATTAAAATGAGTATGGCAAAGCCTTCAACAAATGGCTTTACACTGAAGCTCTCTCCCAAAAATGGCTGTTGCAAACTGTAAACAGAATGGAATAAACAGTCTTTACAGTAAGAACAAGGAAAATACAAATGAACAAAAAAGAAAGCACCAGTTTGTCAAAATAGATTACAGTTGTGCTTACAGTACTTAAAACAATGTTAAAAAACAAATTACAAAAAAAGGAATGCTTGAAGATTAAAAATTAGTCCTTAAAAACATTTCTCCTTTTCACATTAAAAAACCCATAATGGGTAACATTTCAGTAGAGGGAGGAATAAGTAAACAATGCACTTTTTTCAATCAACAACAAAATTTGGTCACTTAGCTTTGTGCATAGTTTAAGGCAGCTGTAGCAACCTGTTCATTTCCCCCCATGGCTGCTCATGAAAATGTCACATTCTAAAAAGAATAAATTAAAAAAAATTGCCTTTCAAATCTGTCCCGACATCCCCTTCCCCCCTCCCCCCAAATATCCACTCACACAGCCACACGTACACACACGCACACTGCAGCGAAAGGGGCGCTTGTACCCTTGTTCTGACGGACACACTTCCCATCCCACTTTATTTTCAATCGGCAAATACCCTGAGCTGTTTCTGGTGTTCGTAATCATTCCACCTTTTTTTTTTTACTTGCATGTGCAGTTCAAGTGTACAATAGTGAAAACAACATGCAAATGTTTCCACTGCAGAATCTTAACACAATTAGGACACTTCCTCTCTTCCCCACCCAACCCGACCCAACCAATCCCACCCATCCGCCCACCTTTCTAAATTCAGTAATTTCTGCCTGCTATAATTGCATTCCCATTCTGCACTGGAGTAAAGTTTGGCTGTGCTTCACGTTAGATGTTCTGTTCCAAATGCATGGCCAAGAATCTCACACATGGGAGACTTTTATCTTGGTAAGAGGAGAATGAGCTGCAGATTCAGATTTGATCTTTTGGGTTAGTGGTTCCTTCGCAGCCATGCAGAAATTTAATCTAGAATCTATAGTTTCAAAGTACATTTGTAAACATCAGTTCTTGCCCAAGGCAGCCAAGTATGGGCACTTCACATTTCCACATTTTGGGCAGAGACTGAATGGAGTCTTATTTAAATTCCAAGAAAATAGAATCATCCATGTCATGCAGCGACTCTAAAGGCCTTATTTCAAATTTCCCCTAAAAACAAATAAAAACAAAACAATGTGGCATGTAACAATATATTTTGTACGGTTCCCAGTCAAGGTTCGTTCACTTCTCGTTTGCATATTCAGGGATCCATGCAGAAGCCAACCAAGGCATACGCATATTGCTGTGTTCAGGTCTTATAACTGAAACTTGGGCTCAAATGGTTTATCAAAAGAAAACCTTGGAAATAAATAATGCTGGCATTGTTTACACTGAAACCTTGGCAGTCAGACAAAATGTATCCTCAAACCCTCCTCTGCAGATACCAAGCAAGAGGCAGTTTGTTGATCAGTTCCCAGGGTCAGGATGGTCAGTGTTCCTGAGGTACTATGTCAGAGTCCATTTCCTCAAATGCAGGATCAGTATCGTCTCCACTGCTGGATTGCTCTCGGTGCACTCCTTTCCAACTAGCTTTATTGAGTCCTAAATGACCAAGCATTGTTTGAGACAGCTTGGTGTTTGAAAAACGGGCCCACTCTGCAAACAACGGCTCCACCAAATAGGTAATAAAACCTAAGAGAGGAAAAAGTATCTTGGTGTTAGAACAAAGGGAAAAAAGAGGTCAGTGAAGCTTTACTTTTCAATACTGAAATTCTTTCAGTGGGTTTTAATTTAATATTCTATACACTTCCCTGAGCACTTACAACCCCTGCATCTGCGGGACCAGTATATTCAGTTGCATTTATCCACATCTGAAAAAAGATGTCCTCTTTTTCAACGCATTTTCAAAGTCTTTCATTCTAGCTCTATGATATTCCAGAGCTGTAAATCCTTTTATCAGAGATCACTATTATCTGCCGTTTTGTAGCTCCACAGATAAAAGGGACTGTGTTGTATACACTTCAAAAACAAGTGTATTAAGATGCATTTTAGAACCAATACAGATTATTGTAAAGAAATTGTATCCTAAATTTGCTGTCTATAACAAACTGGTAAACAGTAGAACATTCGTCACAAGATTTCATAATTCAGATGGGTAGGCAAAAAATATTAAAAATGAAGAATCAAGAGTAAAGAATATTCACTTAAGAAAATTCTTTTGTAAGAGAAAACTAGCAACTTTCCAAAATTTTACAGCAAATTACTGACATATTTGGTTGTGTAGGTGGTTTTTTTGATGATGTTGTTCTTGTTCAAATGGGATTATTTGAATAAGAGCAGAGCTTCAGGCTATCAATTCCTCCCTGAACAGTCTGGTTTGAAGAAACCATAATTTGCTGATATGTCCAAATAGACAAACTGTGGTTACTTATTAAGCACCCCTTGTTTCCAAAGATACTGTTTAAAGTGTATTTTCCGATACCGACTGCTATCAAAGTAACCATAATATGTCATCTATTTCAACATCATAACGAATTATGGTTACTTCAAACCAGATGTGCAAGAAAGAATTGAGGTAAAAAGGGTCAACAGGGTACACAAGCCCCAAAGCATGTTTTTCATGGTCAAGCCATTAAGAGGCAGTATTGCCAAACTTTTGGTTTGCTTTTCATAAAAAGGAACTATTTCTACATACAGCTTTAACACAAAGAATGTGCTGTAAAAATACGTCTGCTTCTTGAAGTCAAGTTTTAATAACTTGACAAATAGAACCTTCTTCAAACATTCTACGCAAAGGACTATAAATGCTAGATGAAAAAACAACTTTAAAATTTTTAAAAGTCCAAAGAAAGATGAAAAATTACACTGAAAATTACAATTGCATTCAAACATATTTAAGTATTTCAAAACTTTCTCAAAAAGATTTAGAGGTAATTATCAATTTTTCGTCTATGAATGACATATTAACAAAAATTGTAACAATTTTTAGTTGTAGTTACCAATCTGGATGTTTGCCATGGTTTCTGTCTCTCGATCACACAGTGGACTCACACCCAAGCCATATTTTTTCTCAACATCCCCTAGGGGAAAAAATGCTACTGTAATAAGCCATTCTCGACCATTCAATAGCCTCAAAAGTGGTAGCTTATCATGTATTACAATCAAAGTTTAAAACATACAATATACTTTTATACCCCACTGTAAGCTGAAAGGAGAGGTAGATAATAAATGAAATCTATTATTATTATTATTATTATTATTATCACCATCATCATCATCATGGTTTTTTATCATTTGAAAAACATTTCTAAGTTTGCAAAACATGTGGAATTCCTCTTTTTTTTTAGTTGGCGTCTATTTATGCCTATGCCCCCACATTACTTCTGCCTATGCCATTGGATTTTCTGTTAAAGTAACAGTGCCCAGAAACACTTTGTTAACTTATGAAGAAATTGAGAATAGCCAACAGCATTGCTGGAACAATGGCATATGTAAGATTAATATGCGAAAGGGTGAACTTTATGCATCCAAAACAAGAGGACAAGCAAGTTAGATGAGGTTCAGAATCTTCTATTCTGTGATTTAGCTAGTAATACTGAAATAAGAAAACATTCTTACAAAATTTATTAGGAGCTCTTGTTAGGAAACATATTCTAATATCTTCCTAACACAGGATTCATTAAAATTATTTTATCATTTTGGTTCATATTCTTTGGAGAAAAGACTTCACGTTTCACTACTTACCTTGGTGAAAGAACTCTTCCGTTACTTTCTCACTCCACTGCTTGCTCAGTTCCCAGGTCCGGCAGGGATTACAAATATCAGCACATTTCAAGGCCATCTAGCATATAAGCACAAAGTCATTGATTGATAGTATTTGGCAAAAATAGAATACAACACATAATTCGCAATATATAGCATGAAACAGTAATTTTTAAATCCCTTCAGGATATGAAGAAAGTAAATAAGTGAGTAAAAAGCAAACCTACAACCCCACAAACAATTACTTGTAGAAAGCAAAGGTAACTGAAAGAGAATCAATTATGTATGCAGAGAAAAGCTATTCAAGTTGAAGGCAGGCAGAAGGTAATATCTTGAACAATGCAACACAGAAATATTTTGAAAATAGAGTTATGCAATAGTTTTACATCAGTCTATGATCCAAATCCAGTTGCCCATCCCAACGGAATAAATGGAAAATCAAATTCAAATTACAGACGGCTCTCCACATTTGTGGGAACTGAGATACAGAAACTTCTGTGAAAGTGAGAAAACCACTAAGAACTGTCATCGGGGGGGGGGCGGAGGGGCAATCGCCTCCTCAAATCCTTGTATCAGTAAAGTTTGGGAAACACTTCACATGGGAGATAGTGGCCAACCGGCCTCCCTCAAAGCTGCTCCCCAAAAAACCTCTCCCAAACTCAGAGCAGGGTAGACAAACAAGAGTTCTTCAGGCCACAAGAAAATCTGGCTCCTGGCATTCAGGAACCAGGGCCGGCATGCTAAGGGTCTTAGTAGTTTTCTTTAAAAGGATATTAAAATCTATTAGCTGAAATTGTTTAACCGAGGAAAGTTGGGAGGAATTCCCTTGATTCTTCATCAAAGGCCACATCTCCATCCTCACTGCCCTCCTCCATGTAATCCCCAGCCACTGTGTAGGTATACTCATACTATAATTGCCATCTAAGGTGTCCCTTCTTGCCTCCTAGAGGGTGCAAGGTCCAGAGATACGAGGGGTATTTTTTAAGTAAGGTCCGTTTTGTTGTAGACACTAGTAGTTTGCGCGCATACCGCAACGAGCGCGTGTGTCGTGTACCGCTATGCCTCGGGAACAACTGTGCTCAGTTTCCGCTCTGTAGCTAACCTGTACGGTTCTGTTCTGTGCTTTAAAAATGTTTCAGACTATCAACTCACCTGCCTCATGTGAGGTTCGCTCAGTGATACGGTTTTTGTCAGCAAGGAACCTGCCTGCTGCAGAAATTCGTCGACAGATTTGTGAAGTGTACGGTGATACTGTTATGAGTGAAAGTAAAGTGCGTAAGTGGATACGACAATTCAAAGATGGCCGTGAAAACGTCCATGATGAGGACCGCTCCGGTCGCCCTTCTTTGATTACAGACGATTTGGTGGCTTCAGCAGGCGGCAAGTTTTTATAAAGAGGGTATTTTAAAATTGGTTCAGAGGTATGATAAGTGTTTGAACAAACTTGGCAACTATGTCGAAAAATAGAGTGAAGTATGTACTTTCTGAAAATAAATTTACTTTTTTGAAATAAACTTTTGTTGTGTACTTATGTTCAAACGGACCTTACTTAAAAAATACCCCTCGTATATCACCCTGATCTTCATTGTCCCTTAGATCTAATTCAGAGTGGGCCTGGACCAGGATGCAGCCTTTGCTCATCAGCACTTCAGGGTGGATTGAGAAGTACCTTGCCCTTTCCCCCTGGTTGCCTTATGTTTGACAGGAGTCCCTTTCCCCAGCCTCTTATGTAGCAACTGCTTATCTCCCAGGTCACTGGAGGACTGGAAGCAGAGGCTAAAATGATAGCTGGAGAACTATCATAAAGGGAAATTTCATCCACATTTGCTCTACAGCTCTTCTGCTCACTTCTAGGTTGCTGCTAACTCTCACTGGTTCCCTTCAGCTGGTTGTGTTAGCCTTAGAAGATGCCAAGTCCTTAACCCATGACATAAAATCCATTAAGTGGGGGAGGGAGCCCATGACCACCTGCCTAGTCATCTTGAGTTTTCTCTCCACATGGTTGGCCACTGGGGTATGGGGAATAGGGAGCAAGGGAAAAGCAGCTGAAGGGAGATTAAATTTTTAAAAGTCCAAAGAAAGAATAAAATTTAAGGGAGAGTGTTGTTTTTTTTTAAGACAGAAGAAAGCAGGAAAAAATTGAAGACAAGAAATGGAAACGTAAGAAAAATGGTGGCCAAAGCAAGGGGGAAAAAACATGAGTATGGACAGAAAGCAGGAAGGAAAACTAGCCTTTGGAGGAAAGCTGCCCTTTCTACTGGGCTCCTTCAAAAGGCTTATTCGTTTCTGCCTTTGGAGAAGGGAAGGACAACTCATATTCAGTATGTTCCTCCCTTCACCACAGGGAAATGGAACATCTTTTCAGTCTGTGGAAATTATGTTTTTATAAAATTATACCTAGAGAACACAGTTGGCCTTCTTCAAGTCAATGTGTGGCAGGTCACTACTTTTTCCAGGAAATACTGGTAATCAGAAAATTTACCTGAAGTACAAGATGACGATGATTCTCCTGTTCTAAGCATAAGTCCTCTTTGTCCAAATGAGTGCGAAATAGAGACAGATACTCATTTTGCCGACTTATATCAGTGGCAAGAATCAGTGCACCTATCTGGCTTTCCATCAGCTGCCTGAATTTGAGTACAAAAAGAAAGAAGAAAAGAAATGAACTATACTCAGTGATGGTGGAAAAGCAGTATGACATCTCTGGATGATTTACACAAAGTTCAGATCAATACAGACATTACATTTGTATGTGCTGTTGAAGGCTTTCATGGCCAGAATCACTGGGTTGCTGTGAGTTTTCCAGGCTGTATGACCACGTTCCAGAAGCATTCTCTTCTGATGGGAGAAAAAACTCTTGTCTGTTTGAGACAAGTATGAATGTTGCAATTGACCAACAAAAGATTCTCCCAGGCAGGAAGCAGCCAAGCTTTGAAGCTGCAAAGCTAGTCAAAGCTAATCAAAGTGATCAATTGCAACATTCTCACTTGCCTCAAACAGACAAAAGTTCTTTCTCCCACCCTGGACATTCCAGAGATATATAAACCCCACTTGCCTAGTTTCCAACAAACCTCACAACATCTGAGTATGCCTGCCATAGATGTGGATGAAATGTCAGGAGAGAATGCTTCTGGAACATGGCCAAACAGCCGGGAAAACTCACAGCAATCCATTAGATTTGTAATTCTGATGAAGTATACAGTTTTATTAACAAGAACATAGAAACAGGATATTTCAATCCAATAGTGCAGGATTTTTTACATTACTCAAGAGTATTGTAATGCACATTTAAAATGTGTATTTTACAGACACAGCTCATAAAATATTATGAAATGAATTCCAATCAGATATGCCTTTTTCCTATATGTTCTGGCAGCATGCAATTGCCTTCTAACAAAGCTGCAAACAATATATTACCAAAACAATGTTAATATCCTTTGATATATTAAGTGGAAATGCTTATTTTGCCATGTATATAACACTGCTGGATAACAAAACTAACATATACCTTGTTTCTAGTGACATATGTGCAAATAATCCAGACTCTCTCAACAACCCCACTGCTGATCTCCAGTGATGATTTTCTAATACTGAGGTATTCTGGAAATTAAAAAAGTCATTACTGACATCAAGCATCCTTAGAATCCTGAACTCAATTTTCTTGAACAAATAATTGTGTTAATTTTTCATCAGAAGACAGGCTGGTAGATTACAATCTAAAACATACTTCAAACTCACTATTCCCAAACACGTATGGATCATTAATCATTTTTACCAATTTGATCTTGTACATCAACTGTGTCCTTTCCTCAAGAACTCATCTCCCTTCACTTATTCCTACACGGGTCATCTCTATCCGAGATTGCTGTAATATGGGTCTCCCATTGAATGTGTTCCAAAAGCGGTTTTAGAGTACTGTTGCAAGAGTTTCAATAGAAGTGGGCAAGTTAAATAATATTCCATAGATTCTTTATTGGAGTCACCCACTACTAGATCATATCTAGCCTCAACTTCACAATCTGACTTTTATCTTTAATGTGCCAAATGGCATCTATATTCTCTCCCTCCTGAAGCTGCCCAGAATCTTTCTTCTGCTATAAAGTACATTCTTTCTGCCATGCTATCAGAAAACAAGCAAATTTCTCAGGAAAAAAGCCCTTAAGTATTGAGAAGTCTCCTCTGATCCTGTTTTCAAGGAGGAGATGGGAATGCCCTAGGGCTGAGAACAGCGGTCTACAAGTGCAGCAAATAAATAAATAAATAAATAAATGCTACTATTTGTGCACTAGGAATATGTATTTAAGTGGGCACTGAGGTTCTTCATTTATTATGTACCAACTGCTCCTTAGATCTTTTAGGCTCTACTTATTATTCTTGGATTTTATGTGAGCTGCATTATAAGTTGTAAACTGCCAAAAAGGGGGGGGGGGTAATTCTTTAAAAAGTTATCCTATTATGACCATGTATCACAACTAAAATTAAATGCCATAACATTTCTTCCACTCACCTTGTATAAAGTTGCTAAATAATGGTTTGTTTTAATAAGGAAAGGCTGATTAACACCTGGGTGATCCAAATCATGAGCGGCAGCTGCAATTAAACTGACCAGAACATCCCATGGAGTTAGAGACTGGGAAAGCTGGAATGTGTAAAGTAGATGAATGTAAACATTCACACACATTCAGATATCATTATTTATAACCAACAAAAGCAAATACTGAATTTCATCAAATGCATAAACATATTATCTCTATATTTTATCATTTTGACTAGGCAATGGGATTCAAAGGCCCACATCAAATAGAGTGGTACTGCTGGTAGAACTGTTTTCACTAGTAAAGAAGAGCAATTCATCTGCAATCCATATGTGTCCTCAAAAAGGGGTCTAGAAGAATGAGAAATATTCCAAGGCAGGTTGTTGACAAAAGAAGCCCCATCAGGTTAGCAAGTTGTAGGGACAGCAATAAGAAAGCAATAATAAAGGCAAACTCATTTTTATTAAACACAACTATTTAAAAAAAAACCCATGTCCCCCATTCCCAATCACATACCAGAGTTTAAAATCAGTCTACTATAGCACGGAGGATGGCTTTTAAAAATATAATTCCACAATGCTTTCATTAACAACAATTTAAAGTAGTCATTTACAAATATTAAAAGGGGGGGGGGACACAAACCACTGAATATTTTTTAAAACACAGAATATGGGTGCCCCAAGACCATCACAACTAAGCTGTTACTAATTTCGCTATTATCAATTTCCTATGAGCAAACTCTTCCAATCAATTGCTAAAGATAGTTAATTATTTTCTTTTGTTTACCTTGGGTTCTTTTAAATAACAGTGCATGGCCTGAGTCACATCAGCAGCATGAACTGCATTGTGATATGGGTTTTGACTGTGGTAATCTTCTTGGACCATTACTATAATTGAAAAGAGATTATTCTGTTACTCCAACCCTTCAATTTTTTTTGAACAAGTTACTAAATATCCACATCACTTCAATCATGTAGCCAGAAAGACTGCTGCAGCAGCACATCATGGTCTGCTTCTCCCTTTCACTATGCAGATCTTCAATATAAATAAGTTCCTCCCACAGATCTATTATGTAGCAGTATATAGTAGCATTCAGACCCTATCCATTTAAACATCTTTCTCAAAGAAATAGGAAATAAACATAAAAGATATGCTTTTGCACAATCAAGTTCTCATACCAATTTAATTTATTGTTTTCATGTCACTCTACTACACTGTTATTGCAAAACCCCACCCCAATTCAAGATATCAATTATGATACATACTATTGTATCCTCTCTATTAGCATCTTCTGAAATAAAATCAGATCATCATTCATACAGTTTTTGTATTTGAAATAGTACACCAAATTAAACCACTCACCAAGATATGTTATACCATTAATAATTAGTTTAAGCTGTGGTTTATCAGGCAGAGATCTCTTTAATAATATTTTTAAAACTTTTGATATTTTTGTGGAGAATATAATTATCAGTAAATAAGGAGGGGAAAAAACTATATCTGCCCATTTGAAACCCTGAAACTTGGCATTCATAGGTGGGGCTGGACAGCTCATTATCCGTATCGAAAATGGACCTTTATGGTAAATTTCTAATGTGTTATTCTCAGCCAGCAGAGTAAAAGTCATAAAAGAAAGGGAGTTGTTCTAGCAGAAATACACCCTTGAAAGGATGGTGACAAGCAAATCAAATCAATTTGATGGGGGCTGAAATACTTATCTACCAATAAAAAGTCTTAATGGAGGTGAATTTGTACAATCTGTAAAGGTGAAAGGCCCAAGCTGTGGCCCTGCAAATTTCTGTGAGACTGGAGGCAGTTCAACTCCCTCCAAAATAATTTGCTACCCCCCATCAAGGTGAGTGACTATCTTTACAGTTTTCACAAGAGTCAATTAAGAGTACTTACACATCGCAAACCAACCTAACATGTCTAAAAGAGGGCCAAGCAATGCACTTTCTATATTTTGGGGAAACTAACTGACATGTTGAAGAGTTCATTGAAAAGTTCATGGCCTGGCTATTCCTTTCATCATTTGCACAGGAAATGCTTATTCGTACTATCACAGTTTTTCATATCTGTGAAAGCGAAGCATATTCTGTTCAGATATCAGCCAGCAAGCCAATACCTTCAATCAAGAAACAGCTTCCTAAGATCTAGAGAGACACTCACAGGAACACCTCAGCAAGCGAGAGTCCAAAAGTGGCAGGCGAAAACCCAGAACCTTAATCAGTGGCTAAGACCGGATGAGAAATTCCCTCCTGGGAACACAGAAGACTGGGCAACTTGGAAGGGGCTGAACAGATGCAGAGCCAACCTCAAGAAATGGGGCTACAAAGTGGAATCCACAACATGCGAGTGTGGAAAAGAGCAAACTACAGACCACCTGCTGCAATGCAACCTGAGCCCCACCACATGCACAATGGAGGACCTCCTTGCAGCAACACCAGAGGCACTCCAAGTGGCCAGCTACTGGTCAAAGGAGCCAATTTTCAGAAATGGGGCTGCAAAGTGGAGTCCACGACATGCAAGTGTGAAGAAGAGCAAACACAGACTGCTCACTACAATACAGTCTGAGCCTTGCCAAATGCAAAATGGAGGACCTCTTTACAGCCACATCAGAGGCACTCGAAGTGGCCAGCTTCTGGTCAAAGGAAATTTAGTATAATGCCAATTTTTTAAACTTTGTTTGTTGTTTTTCTATGCATTATAACAGTATTCCCAATTCGCTTCTGACACAATAAATAAAGAAATATCTGTGAAAGCTTTTTTGGAAATCTTGCATCTGCAAAACTCATTTACCAGAAATATTTAAAGTGAATTTATGAATGCCTTTTACCTAAAAATCTGCGTAGCTTCATTGTATCTAGTTGGAAGTGCTCTATCAGTCCATGAAGATTAAACAAGTGGAAGGTTAAGGTGACTAAACTGTTTCCTAAAAGCAAAATGGAAACAAAACACAGAAACCGTTTAGTGGGAAGTATTTAAAAAGTAAACTGACCAAATAGTTACATGCCTCTACTATACTTATTTGAAGTTTAGTCATTCATACAGTACACACAAATGCAAACCATGCAAGCTGCAAGAAAAGAAATCTGTCTTCCTCTGAGTATAAGTAAAAGACAATTACATATTCATTGGCTAGATATATAAAATGCAGACCACATCACTTTATCTTTCCTTCAGAAGCTCCTAATCCAATCCTAGAAGGCAGTAGAAGGTAGCGGTCACTCCTTCACTTACACCCACTGGTTCCATCTTCCCGGATTTTATAGTTAGAGTATAGTCCTCAAATAAATCTGCTCTACCAACTCACCCACTACGATAAAGTCAACTCACACAACTTTGCCATCCTCTGACATTTTTTCAATTCCTTTGTAACAGAATGATTTAAAATTACTAGAATTATTTCCAAGTCACATGCAACAGAAAGCTTGTTATTAGACAACTCATAAGACTGATAATTTAACATACTCAAAACTAATCTCTAGTCAGAATTTTTTAACCACGTTTCATACTCTCTTTTTTGGACCAAGTCCTTCATTTAGATTCCAGTATGGACCTAAAACCCTGTTCAGGCTGTGACTTCCCTTGTCACATCATTTAACTTGCAATGTTTATGGTACTATACATTGCTTGAGTTGCTAGGTCTATCATTTAAAAATTACCTTGATTATTTTAATTTAATGCAACCATTAAACCATCAGTACTTTCAGTTTACATATTCCAAACTCTCAAAGTATGAAACTCTCAATTACTGACAGTCTTACAGACAAAACAGTGGTATTTAAATATAAATTTATTCAAAACAAAAGATAAAAAATTGTGCTCTTTTCCCAGCATTTTAAATTTTTTATAGAATACTCCCCACCAGAGTTAAACAAAGAGTCAAGGCTAAAGAATTTTGAGTATTTATACTCTATTCTTCAGCCACAAAGGCTCTTGGAGCAGCTTACAAATGACAGTTCCCTGACAGATTTACAGACAAGGAAAAGAGAGGAGATTACCCATAAATACCCATTAGTATTCTGGAAGATCTAGCAGAAAGAAGTGAGCAATTTTGGCAAGTTAAGAGTTCTATTTTCTGCCCCTTGGATCTTCCAGAGGCTAGAGGCACTGCCACAAATGCCAAAACAAAACTGGTCTGAGATGGAAGTCCATTTTTGGTTTTGAAAAATCTGTCTTGCTTTAAAACTTAAACAGCTCAGGAAATTTCTCAATTTGAATCTATTTAAAAGGGGAAATTCTACTCTTGTAGACCACAGCTATAGGCTATTTGCTCATTTATGGCTGAAAGAGAGATTGGGGCACATTATCAGCCCTGTAGTTGCATGTAAAAGATAAAAGATAGTGTGTCACAAATATCAGGATAAGCATAATTCACAAATACAGATCATTCATGCAATGATAATAATAATAATAATAATAATAATAATAATAATAATAATAATAATAATCTGGATTTCGCATCACAAAATCACAAGTCGGAACACTTCCCAAGCATCTAGGAATGTGTGATATGTTTTCGAATGATGCGCACAGATCCAGGTGGCCAGTATATATATCTCGTTTGCTGTGACAGCCTGTGTTTTTGTGTCAGTAAAATAATAATAACAAATTATTTCTATCTCACCCTCTCTCCCTGGGCAGTTTATACATACATACAAAAGGCAAATATTCGATGTCATATACAATCATAAAAACAGAAACAAATATACATAAAAACGATAAAATACAGATCATAATTAAAAGTGCATATAAAAGAAGTTCTATGGGAGAAGGGAACATAGAAAGAAAAACTACCATATATTTTTATGAGCTAAACAGGTGCAAGCCCACAAAAGCTAGAATACACATTCAGCATGCAGTTTGGCACTGTTTTGCTTGACTCGACCTCATCCAGTGTCAGAAAGGGGGAAATGCTACCTATAATGAAGCTTCTCAGTTTATTTATTTTGTCCATTTAAAATACAGTAAAAAAATCAATGGAATTTGTGCAATTAATACAAAGCATAACAAAACATTTTTAATAGTTACAAATGATCGCTTAAAAAACAAACAAAGCCAAATAATACCCAGTGTTAAACGTGGACTTCTCTATTAATATTCAAGCATCAACTGTTGTAGCAAGGATGATTACAGACAAGATGGAGAAATACAAGATGAGACCAGCTTGGCCAACATGGGGCAGTACCATCATGACTATTCCAGAATTCCCTCAGCTTGCTTTTATCCTCTTGGTAAATTTTACTAAAACATCTGCCCTTCTCAAAACACCATAATCTGAGAAAAGCAGAGCAGTATACAGTGGTAGCTTGCACTAATTCCCAGACTTTTTTTCTATAGAGATGCTGCAGGTCAACTAGTGGCTAAATTAGAAATTCAAATCCATAGCAATCCACAGTAAATATATTATAGAGCTCTACGAAATAGTTCAACAACTCCTCTCTTATATTTAAAAATAGATGTTGGCCTTTCTAGCTGCTCCCTATTTCACCATTACATATTTGCTAATGTGGCTTTTCCCTATGTAACTGTTCCAACTTCTTTATTTAATATTCATCTACCCATCCCCCATTTTTTGGGGTGAATCGCGTATTTTCTAATGATGACTTACTGTAAGATTACAGACTTATCCTTCAGAAAATAAATGCCTTCTGTTTACATTAAGTAGAAGGACAACAAGTCTTTTTGTACCAGATTGCATCACAACATCTACAGCTCATCTTCTTCATATACAGTTCAATTCATTCCTTGTGTCTAATCTTTTAGTCTATTTGTTATCTATGTTTTTTTTTCAAGTCAGTTTCAGTGAAAGGCTCTACATTTTCCTCTACATTTTCCGTATCTCCCTCCCTATTTCACAGTCTCTACGAAGTATTATCAATTAATTTCTGTATATCCAGTCATCAATTATTTTAATGTGCTTGAAGTATTTTGAATATTAACAACTTGTTAAATAATTAGCAATATGTTAAAAATAATTTCAAGATAATTGTGTTCTAAGTTAAAACTTTATTTCGTTGAAGAATTCTGAATGGCACAAAACTCAAACTTTTATGACACTTTAAAGGTCTCAAAAAGTAACACCCAGCTTTGATTTTTTACATGTTATCATAAAGATTTAAAGTTTTTTAATGCATTGTTTTAATTTGCTCAAAGCAGACTTTCCTTTTAGAATAAAAATGTTTCCACAGCACTACAAACATGTCTACATGAGACAAATGGCAATTGGATTCCATGCAGGAACTTCCTAATTACTAATTTCCATGCAGAAAGAGGGGAGGTAGACAGCACACTTTAGCAAGAGGGAGCAAGTTCAATGGGCTGTCTGTACCTAACTAATGAACCCTGCTCAATCATTAGAAAAAGAAAACTTGCAGAGGTCATAGGCCATGCTTTCAAAGTTACATGTAACACTCATTCACAGCTTCAGGAAAACTGAAGCTGTACAGTATCAACAGAGGAGTACTATTCACAAGTAACCACTGAGTTAAAGATCAGTTAAAAACACTCAAATGCTATGATCTCACCATTTGTTAGCCTGTCAAAAAGGAAGATATCAAAATTCCAGTTTCCAACTTTTTCTAGCATACACTGAAAGAAAAGAAAGAAAAAGTGAGTTCAAATGTTCAAATTTATTTATCCTATTTGCTTTTACTTGTGATGTTTTCAATCAGAGTCAAAACAGGATTTTAGAAAGGATATTGCAAGGATGTGAAAAAAGGTCTACCTAGCTACATAATTCTTTTTTATCAAGATAGAGAAATTATTTTTCTTCCATAACTATCTGTCCCCCAGATACCCATTTATGCAATCCTGATTATGTTATTGCAATGAAATCTTTGGGGGCTACTTTTGAAAAGTATTTTGAAACTTCACTGGTCCACAGCCTTACAACCAGAGCTAGATAGCTGACTGGACACCATTAGTACAGGTTCACTTGTTTTGGGTATATTTCCAAGCACAACGCAAAGACAAACTTGGAAACAGGCTATGTGAAGCACCACATCATCCCGTTGTTTGTTTTGTTTGTTTGTTTTGTTCTGTTAGAAATGTAATACAATGGTATGGTTGCTAATGACACAATAAATAAATCCCGTGTGAGCCCAGATATTCAGATTTTTGTAGATCCCGCTAACTTGGGATCACTTTTGATGAGGATGTCAGAAAGATTATTTTTTGTGGCCACATTCTGCATCTTTCCGTTGAAGGAAATTGAAATCACCCCTTCTGTTTTCTTTCTGCTGGTAAGAAATATCTTTTTTTATCTAAGCATGTTGTTCCCCTGACCAGATTTCGAAATGTGTTTTAGCCTATTCTTTTTAGTTGTATGTATTTGTTTGAATGTTGTTGTTAACTTATCCTTAGCACCACTTCTTGGAGAAAAATGAGTTATTTCATAAGCAAAATAAAACCTACTTGCATGAAAAAGGAGCTTACTTCATATAACACAGTTATTATGCAATTCTAGTAAAAACTGCAACAGCTCCAAGTAGAAGTAAGAGCAGAACTATGTGCTTAAGCCTATATTTATCTTTAAACAAAGAATGAACCCAGTCTCATTGCTGTGCCTGATGCCTTCTGGGTTATAACCTACACCCAGGGAAACAAAAACAATCAAGCTGGTGGCTGCTGACAGTTGCATAAAATGGGAATCCTTGTCACACAATATGGAAATAAACAAGATAATTCCAGCAACAAATCTGGGGAAAATGGATTATTTTTCTGGTTTGTAAGGGGAAAAAAGAATTGCAGCTGTATCTGGGTTTGTGTTTAAAAATTCAGTAGGGCCCTTCCACACAGCCATATAACCCAGAATCTCAAGGCAGAAAATCCCACAATATCTGCTTTGAACTGGGTTATCTGAGTCCACACTGCCAAATAACCCAGTTCAAAGTAGATAATGTGGAATTTTATACAGCTGTGTGGAAGGGGCRAAGGTCATTCTTTCTACAAGTGGAAACAATAAAAAAGTATGCRGCAGGAGCCCACTCCTCATTCACCTTAAACCAGGTTTCCTTAGACCCTAGGTTATCAGGTCATACAGAAATCTGCAAATAACCAATTTCCACTTATTTCAATTACCAAACAGTTTAAATCTAGGCAAAGAATCTATTTTTTTTTAATTCTTAAAAATGAGGAAAAATGTAAATAGATTCAGATACCAAAATTTCAGGTTATTTGGTTTAATTTTTGTTCCTGGATTATAAATGTCATTTCCTAATTGGTTCTATCATTTAAAAAAAACCCATGGAAAAAGTTTATTAAACTGCAAAAACTTTCTTTTTGTGGGACATCCTGCAGCACATTTTGCTATAGTTTTTCAATGAATATTTCAGAGTCTCAACCAATTCAACATAGTTTGTGGCAACCACAAKAACAAAGTTTCTGGAGTATAACAACTACTTTCAAAGTAAGCACCACACAATTAAACAGGAAATAACACTTTCAAACTAGGAACAGATTTTATTTTTCAAATTTTGTTATATGGTGTTATCCAACCAATGTTAACAACTTCACAATGCTGCAAGTACTTCTGAAGACATTTTTGGCAACTTGATACCAACTTCTTGAATTCACGATGACGAAAAGTTCTTCTTCACCCGATATTGCCATCTCATCACTAGCAACTGTAGCAATCCTGTTACCAATACCCTTTGCTTTAAGATTTACAAATATGGGAAATAAATTTCAATCTGACATATCTTAATTAAATAACAGTAGTGTTTTGTTCAGGGCAAGATTATAATATGGCTTCATAAACAAACCTTAGCTTGTCCATTGTAATCATCATCTAAAAAGTTTGAAGAGTTTGGAAGAGTTATACCACGGAAGAATCGGGAAGATCTCAAGTACCGCTGGAAACTTAGTAACCTTCGGACGTTTCTTGCAGACACAGAAACTTCAATTTCAGAATTTGCTAGGAGGGGGAAAACAAAGAGCCTTAAGACTAATCTTCATAGTAAAAATATTACAAGGTAAACCTAGAAAAAAATTCGTTTAAGATAGTAATGGGGATTCTGTCACTCTCCAAATTTTACTGGATTACAAATTCACATAATTTCTGATAATTGACCATGCTGTCTGGGGCGGCTGGGACTTGGCATCTATCATCATCTAGAGTAGACATGGAATCATATAGACTTCCTAGGTCTTGCTGTTATTGTTGTATATTTATTTATTCACTTTATTTATACCATGCCTAATTCCTCACCACCAGCTATGCTCATGGTTCAAAATATGGAGGTTTCATTATTCCCATAGGCATCTGGTAAATATCATAAAAAGAGAATGCTGAGCTAGACAGGCAATGGTCAGACTCCCTTTGGCTCTTCTAGACTGATTTTTCTGCTTCCCATCCCTGAGATAAACTTTCAGTTCTGTATAGGATCACATAGATTAGGCTAGTCATTTCTGAGAAAAAGAAAATAACACAAAGTAGTGATGAATACTTAGGTTTGGATACTGAAATGACTTTCAGGAATCTTGAATTAAAAGAAGGGAAGACGGGAATGTTTATGCATTTTTTCCTCACCTCATCAATTCCCAAGGACCAACATACCAATTTATCTGCATTAAAGCCTCACGTTCTACAACAGTGGTTCCCAACGTTTTGTTTTTTTAAAAAATCAGGGAGCACTTTGACCAGGGACCACTCTCCAACATCAGTACCAAAAGGGTTACGAATCAGTTTTTGGTCAACTTTAGATTTGGTTTGGTTATTTGGGGTGCTGATTCAGAAAATTGCATTGGATAGATCACATCAGCTCTAGTTTCTGATACAGAACATATGTCATACAATACTTGCCATATTTTAGTTCTTGCGTACCACTAGTGGTCCACGGACCACAAGTTGGGAACCACGGCTCTACAACTATCTACATGTATCATGAGTCACTCTCGGGCTGAGAAGGGCGGTATAGAAATACAGTAAATAAAATAAATAATAAATAATCAAGTGAAAACATTAGAATCAAATGGAATGATTCCTTTAAAAGTGCCATACTATTTTAGGTTTCTTTATCAGACATTCTTCCGTTTTACTTTCGGTTTTGTCTTCTAAGTTTTAACATTGTAAACCATTAATTTGGACTGTTATTGTTGTATATTTATTTATTCACTTTATTTATACCATGCCTTTCTTCTCATGGGGACTCAAGGTGGCTAACAATCCCACACTTGAGTCACAATTTAAAACAAAGTGAATACAAAAATTGAGTAACAAATAATACAGTATAGATTGAGGTTAAATACATCTATAATATAATAGACACACTTTAACATAGCATAACATTTCACAATCCTTCCCACCCACCCCGAGTGTACATTCAAGTTATTTCCAACCTGAGGTGAAGCCATCGTGAGTTTTCTTGACAAGATTTTTTCACAGGGAAGGCTGACAGAATGTGACATCCTCAAGATAACCCAGAGAATTTCCATGGTTAAGCAGGGATTCAGACTCTGGTTTCCAGAGTTACAGTCTAACAATCAAACCACAACACCATGCTGGCTTTTTAATTTTGGTTATAATTTCTGCTAAATTTTGTGGTTCTGTAAAGGCATTTCAGTACATTTTAGAGCTAGAAATGCTGAAAATAAAACGGACATAAGAGCCACTGAAATAATTACACCTTTTCATGTCTGAAAAGTTGCCTGCAGTCCACATTTTTATTCTCACCAAAATAATTTTACTGCAGAATTTGAATACTACCATACGTACGTAAGAACCCCCTTTACTTTTAGTTATACAAATTTAGTGATTTGCAAACTTCAGGCCTATTCCTCTTCTTTTTCTTCAGAGTTTGTCCCGCTTAATGGCGGAGTCCACTTTACTGGTTTGTTGGCGCCATTTCACCCAGACATGTGCCTGATCAGGGTGCATTCCTAATAATAAATCATTAAACTTTTCATTTAAGCTATTCACAGCCATGAAGAAATGTTGTCTTCTGATTGTAAATTCTCATCCTTCCTGAATTTTCCATTTACAAACTACCTTGACATTTTCAAATGCCTAATTTTTTCACTTCGGCATAAAGATGTCATTATCCTGACCAGAAAGAAAAGACAGTTTTGTTTTTCAGAATCTAAGTCTTCTATTCTAGAACAAATTTCTAAAAGACCATGGAAGAGAAAATGTGTGTTTGTGTTCCAACAGCAAAGGAGGAATGCTGTTTTGATTTATCTGAAATGTATTAAAATACCATCTACTTTTTACAACTCACTTTCAAGGAGCACATTATAAAGATAAAACTCAGTATGAAACAGACATTCAAGGAAAAGCAAAACAAATGGAACTGTGATGAGGAGAGGTTATGAAGTGGCAGTTAACTTCTTAGAAAGGTACTAATATTTGGATTAAACATATTTAAAATAGATTACCATCACTAGTCCTAGCCAAGCAGCTACAAGTACAGACAATTGCATAAGGAGGTAGTTGATGAAGATGGCAGCTAGCAGACAAAGTATGGAAAATGCTTGTGTTCCTACTCTTCCCTATTCCTCTCCACTATGACTGGAGCCTCTATGTGAACCCCAGTTGAAGGGGAGAGAGGCAGGAAGGAGTGCCAAATCTAGAGTGCCGCAACAGATATCCCCGCCCACATCCTCACACTATATTGCTTCCATTCTAGCAGACACCCATGTATACCTACATCTTCAAGTAGGTATACATGGGAAGAGCTCCACCTTAAATTATAGACGCCCTAGGCCTATATATCCCACTTTACTCACAACTATGTCGTCATCAGAGTATGGAGTGAGGAATTCTGAAATTAGCAATACCTTGTTTTATTGAACTCCAGACAACTAGCCCAGAAGCTTTCTAAAGCCCCGACCAAAAAACTGAATATGAAGTATACAACACAAAAATATAAATTGTTTATTTTCTGCCTTCAACTGCTTTCTAAAAAATTGGGAGTTTAAAACACTGATCTCTGTACAATTTTAAGTACATACAAGTGAAAAAAAATGGCTATACAGTAATGTGCAGCTATACGCTGGGGATTTGCTCCTTGTGAGTTTTGCAGGCAAATAAAAAACTCAAATCAGAACCTCATCCCAGTTTTTGGGGGGGAAAACACTAGGAATTAAGCTCTCTTCTGCTGCCAACATTCCTACAATCTAATCTGTCAAGGGTTATCGGAGACTGACAGAATCATGCAAGAGTGGGAGAGGAGTAGGTGTGTAAATACATGCACATGTTCTTCGATGTTGTGACAGATTGATTTAAAAGAAGAAACTAGAAAAATGAGAGGAACCAGAACTTGTTCTGACCAGTTAATTACAGTGTGAGTTTTCAGCTACTTTCCAGACAATCTTAAACTTTGAAATCCCCCCAAATGGTTCATCGAGTATATCACAGAAGTACCATATAAGTCATTATAAATGTCACTAGTGGTACACTAGTCAAACAAATCACTGCAGTTTTGGTCCTTAAGCACACACTAAAATTTGCACTTAAGCACTTAAACATTTACATAAGGAAGTATGAGTTTGAATATCTTGGGATTTTTTTTCCTTTGACAAAATCTAACCAGGAGATTCAACACTGTATACCATGTTACAGGCCTGGTTTAGAGGACTGATGCCAATTGCTCTTCCACTGAAATAAGATGTGGGAATTTACATTTGTTCACCATAATGAATTCCTGTCCAGTATAAGAACAGCAAGAGGTATAATTCTTACATTTCCATTTATGTCATGTAAGTGTTTGCAGGAATACTTCGGACAGAACATGGACAATTTTATTTTTTGCTTCCTGACTTATTTTAAAATGATGGTTTAACAATTTTCAGTGGATACTGTATTATGTGACTGTGAGTACCAAGAAGAGCTTGAACTTAGTGGCAGACCACCAGTTTTGCCTAAAGAAAAATCCCAATATCAAAAAGGAGCTGAGAAATCCCACTTTCAAAAACCATAAAGAAACATTTCTAGTTGGGAGACCAGGAGTGGGGAGCCTGGACTGCTATCCAATATTAGACACATACCTCATCCCTCATATTAAAAAACTTCCTGTGAATTAATGGGCTAGCAAAATCTGCTTCTCAGGAGACTAAGACATTGGCAGTGCAGAGTTTCCCACTTGGTTCACATAACCTCCATCATGTATTTTAATTAATCAGTCTCAACTAAATGTCAATTTTGGGGAGCTGTACCTAATCTAGATTGTTTCTACAACCATTGAACAAATCCAGAATAAAAGTATCAAAAGTGTTCGAGGAAATTCTGCTGTCTCCTCTTTAAACTTTGCTTAAGAGATTAGAAGCATGCTCCATATTTCCATGTTCCTCCTCTTGTCTATGCTTGTTGTAATGACAGTTTAACACTACTTATACACCAAGACCAACTAGATCAAGACAAAACAAAATGATAAAACTGAGATGGATTCTTGTCTATGATTCCAAGGCACTCTTCTTTAGCTCTATTAAGTGAGGGTTGCAGTAAGCCACAGAAAGGAAATGGGACACTGACAAACATGGACATGACAGATATCACAGTCCAATTACTTTCACAGTAGGTAGTATGCTCTTTTGTTTAAGCCAGGCTGTCTCAATGTTTCAAATGAACCAAAGAAGCTTTAGAACAAACCAAGATCTTAAATCAACCTGAATCTATGGTTTAAATTTTTTGGTTGTTCCAAGACTAACACCTTATTTTCAAACTGAAATAAAAAACAAAATTGGGTTTAGAGTATTTATAGTTTAATTTCAACTTATGTAACTACAAAAAAGGAAGTGTGGACAGCAGAAAAAATTCTGTCCATACCCCAACTTGTTATGTAAATCTATAATCATGCAAGTTTCATGCATACAGAGATCAGGACAGTAGCATTCAAAATGAGTCTTCCTGACAGAAGATTTAAATAATTATTTCCAAATGAACCACTCCAACTGATTATTACCATCAGCAAATACATGTTCCCTAAAAAAAAGCTGTATGAAATCTTGTCAATGTTTCTACAGCCTTACGTAAGTTTAAAAAGAAAACAGGAATCCTTAAAAGAATGGAATATTGGTAAAGCAAAGAAAATAACTGAAATCAAAATATTGAGTATAGATTTCTTACAGAGGTATGTCTCAGGTGTTTATTTTCCTGGTTTGCTTAAATCAACTGTTCTCAACCTGGGGGTCGTAACCCCTATGGTGGTCGATCAGCTGCTTAAGGGGGTTGTGCCACTACTTCCTTTGGCCCCGCCTCCTCCGCCTCCCCCGAATGGCTGCTGGGCCCCCATTGCCAGCCAAACAGCCAGCCAGTACCCACGCCCATGCCACTTCTCTTTCTCTATCTCTGCTCCTTCAGGTTGGCACAGAGGGACTCCCCCTTCTCCTCTAGGGTGGCAAGGAGTCACAGGAGGCATTTGGATGTAGAGGTGCACGTGCAGTGGAAGCAGCTCCTCCCCCCCCCCTCTCTTTTTCTCCCCTTTACTTCTCTCCCCTTTTTTCCCTCTTTCTCACCCTTTTTCTCCTGTGGGCTGAGGAACAGGAGGGAGAAGGGAGGCCATTGGGACACGCTAGGTGGCTCCCATCTGACTGTGACCAAGGAAGGTTGGAAGGAAGGAGACAAGGAAGGAGGCTTCCTTTGCTCTCTCTCTCCATTGTTTATTGGGCCTGAGGAGAAGAAGAGGTGTTGGTAGCGGGAGGAGCAGGCCGGGGCTGGTGCTGCCTCCTCCTTGTCCTCCTCCCCGCTCCCTTCTTCCATACTGTGTCTACTGTGTCCTTTCGCCTCCTACTTTATCACAGGCAAGAAAGCCTTCTCCACTGTGCCCCCCTGACTTTGGGACTCATTGCCTGGTGAGATTAGGCAAGCCTCCACCTTAGCAGCCTTCAAGAAAAAATTGAAAACTTGGCTCTTCCAATGTGCCTTTGGAGAGTGACCATTTATCCCATTTCTGTTTGTTCCATCTACAGTGTTGCCCCTATGATGCACTTTCCTCCTTCACTAAGGCAAATTCACTTTCAGAGGTGAGGCTTTTGTTGTTGTTCATTCGTTCAGTCGTCTCCGACTCTTCGTGACCTCTTGGACCAGCCCACGCCAGAGCTCCCTGTCGGCCGTTACCACCCCCAGCTCCCTCAAGGTCAGTCCAGTCACTTCAAGGATGCCATCCATCCATCTTGCCCTTGGTCGGCCCCTCTTCCTTTTGCCTTCCACTTTCCCCAGCATAATTGTCTTCTCTAGGCTTTGCTGTCTCCTCGTGATGTGGCCAAAGTACTTCAACTTTGTCTCTAGTATCCTTCCCTCCAATGAGCAGTCGGGCTTTATTTCCTGGAGGATGGACTGGTTGGATCTTCTCGCAGTCCAAGGCACTCTCAGAACTTTCCTCCAACACCACAGTTCAAAAGCATCTATCTTCCTTCGCTCAGCCTTCCAGCTCTCACATCCGTAGGTTACTACAGGGAATACCATGGCTTTGACTAGGCGGATCTTTGTTGCCAGTGTGATGTCTCTACTCTTTACTATTTTATTGAGACTGGACATTGCTCTCCTCCCAAGAAGTAAGCGTCTTCTGATTTCCTGGCCACAGTCTGCATCTGCAGTAATTTTTGCACCTAGAAATTCTTTTCCAGTTCCCCTCAATTACATATTTTCTTTCCTACCTCATCCAGGGTGATATCATTTTATCTCGTCCATTTGGCCTGCCCATTCTGTTCAATTTTATATGGTGTTAATTTGTTTTATTTGTTTTATTTTGCTTCTGTACATATTTTATTTTGATGTAATTTTCTGTTGACTGCATTCTGTATTTTATTTTGTTGTATTGTATCTTTAGACTTGGCCTCATGTTAGCCGCCCCGAGTCCCCTTTGGGGAGATGGTGGAGGGATAGAAATAAAGTTTATTGTTGTTGTTGTTGTTGTTGTTGAGGGGGGTGAGGCAAGAGCACCCTTTTCGCAGCCACCAGAGGGGCCGAGGGGAGAGGGCGGAGTGGGTGGCAGAGGAAGCAGTGGCCTCAAGAGCACGGTGGACCCACAGGGGAGGCTGGTGGGCACCCTGCTCTGAGCGGGAAGACCAACTTAAACACTCCCTTTTCACCTTATTGACGTCTTCAAGGGGTTCTGAGAGAGACATTTGGGATGTGACATCCCCCCCCCCCTCAGCTTCCTTTTTGGGGGAAATGATGTCTGGGGGAGCTTTGGTTAGGATCTTTGAGAGGGAATGAATCACAGAGTTGCAATTCAAATGATGACTCTGACTTAGTTTTGTGGCTTTTAATAGTTTTTTTTAGTATTGTATGTTTTATTTAGTTTTATCTATGATGTACAGTATTTTTACCTGTTTGTGTATGTGGCATTAAATTCTGTCACACTGTGAGCCATTTTGAGTTCCCTTTGGGGTGAGAGAAAGCGGGATATAAATATAGTAAGTAAATGAATAAATAATAAAGAAGAGATCTTCTTATCCATATCCCTGTTCAAGTCTGTGTAAATTCATCCTTCATCTTAAGCATATATAGGCAGTCCCCAAGTTACAAACAAGCTGGGTTCTGTAGGTTTGTTCTTAAGTTGAATTGGTATGTTAATGTAACTCCAGTCATATGTGTGCGTGTGATGTATATACACATAAACACACACAGACACACACACATATACTAGATTTGAATAGCATAGGGAAGGGTTAACAACCTTGTGGTGTTTGCTTTGCTGTCTGTGCCCCTGTTCAGAAGATGTCACCTCACTTTGTCCCTGTGAGACTTAGATTTTGAAAAAATTGGAAACAAGGGTTGGAGATAAAGCTTCAGTAGAGACATTTTTCCCCTTTTCTGTTTATTGGCACTGAACGTTTGCCATTTTTGTTATTTCTACCACCCTGAGTTCCTTCAGGGAGATAGGGTGTGTTATAAATAAAAATTGTTGTTGTTGTTGTTGTTGTTAACCCTTTCAAGAGTGAACTTCACTTACAAAGAGAGAGATTCCTCTCTCTCCCTGTTGTCTCAGCCCCATTCTTAACTAGGAGTAGTTTGTAATTCAGGGACAGCCTTTAGTTTAAAGTGCAACATCATCACACAAACGTGGACAGTCCTAAGGAATGAAGTTATGAAGTAGCAATGAAAATAATTTTAAGGTTGAGGGTCACCACAACATGAGGAACTGTATTAAAGCAATGGTTTTCAACCTGTGGGTACCCAGATGTTTTGGCCTTCAACTCCCAGAAATCCTAACAACTGGTAAACTGGCTGAGATTTCTGATAGTTATAGGCCAAAACACCAAAGGACCCATAGGTTGAAAACCACTGGAAATGGTGGAAGCATTAGGAAGGTTGAGAACCACTGGATTAAATCCTGTTCTATTGTTTTGCTACTGCCCACAGATATTCTGGTTTGTTCTTCTGAAGAATATTGCAAATGTATTATGAAACCTTTTTGCCACATCCACAGGCACTTCAATCATATAATCAAAACATAGCAGTTGTCTAAATAAGCTTACATTATTAGTTCTTTCTAATCATACTTTTCCATTCTTGACAAAAATATATAGAAAAAAACCCTGAACTAAACTGCTGGAACTGAAAATCCCCATAATATGTGATAACAACAATATCATATTTTTTGGTTTTAAGGCACCGGTCTTCATTTTGAGGGGGGGAGAGAACAGTCCAGCTAAACTTCTAAATATCTCATTATCAGCAGATGCTTCTGTGAACAAGACTCATTCAATTACTCAACTAGGCCCCCTAGAATGAATTAATACAACATAATAGTCCTTCTGTTTATAGCAAGGATAGAATATGGAGATGAAAATAACCAGTAATAGAACTTATGGGATAACTTACTTATTATGGACTTTATTCTTTCAGTTAATATACTAGAAGAAAGTTACTGATACATGGGCACTGTCAGAACTGCAAAATAACTAATCAGACCAATCTCATATTAAGTCAAGTGTATAGCAAATTGAAAAATCCGAACCCTTCATATTCAAGCATTAAAATGAAATTCTAATTTCAGGATTTATGTGGACTGAGGAAAATAAACCACTATCCTGCTTATAGTGTATGCTCATGGTTTTTAAAGTAGAATTTTGTACTTGCAGGGAAAATATTAATTTCCATTTTCATTTAATGGTCAATTACTTGAAGCCCAGCAGCTCAACACAAATGGAATCCTTCAATAGTGTTCTGCTATTATTTAAATACTTACAGTGAAAAATACGGAAATCAATGTATGGATGAGAACCTCTTCTCTCTGTTTCAAATCCTGCCCGACTTCTTACTCGTACATCTCCTAGAAATAGGGTCAAGAGTGAAACATGCTGTGTCGAAGAGCTCCAGAGAAAACTGCAACTGAGTATAGTTGCAAGGTGTAGACTTTATACATGTAGTGTAACAATCATACAATGAACCTGACTCAGTGTCTTTCATTTCAGAGGCAGTTTCAAAACAAGCTTGAAGACTTTTCAAACATGTAACTGCATGTTGTTCATAAAATTCATTATATACACAGCGAAAAGCATGTACAGCTACTCAGATCATATTGCATATGGTACGCTATACTACCATGATGCAAGATAAAAGTAAACATAACATCTTTTTGCTCTCCCGCACCATAACATTTGCTGTTCAAGATCAATTTAAGGATCTTTATTTGGATTTTACATTTACAATTACAACTGTTGCCAATATAGTTTACTTATTTGTGCACAGTTGTTTAATTATACAAAGTGTTACTGAAATATCAAAACCTATTAAAAAGATGAATAAAATGGACATATTCTTCACTTCAGTTAAAATTCCCTTATCAATTGTAAGAAAAGTCTATTGTTAATTGAAACTAACTAGTCAAATAAATTAAGAGAGTTACAAGATAAGATGGGCCTGACTCAAAAGATATTTTTCATCTGCATATTAGACCTCCAATGTGATCCAAATTTGCTGTGGAAGTCCCCCCACTTCTATCCTCCACAGCAACTCTACTCACAGTGGTGGTTCATGGACTGGTATAAGTCTGTGAGCTAATTGCTGCCAGTCCATGGAAATTTTTAATGAAAGAAAGAACTAGTTGTAGTCAACCTCAGACTTGCATGCTTCCTTCTTTTCCTTTAATCACAAGATGTAATGCTGGAAAACCAAACCAAGGAGCTGTGATCATAGTTTTCAGTTCTGGCTAACAGAATCTATAGCATTCACAAATCTTACTTTTGATGTTATGGAAAATTATAATGAGAGGAAACACTGATGTAAGTTGAAGGTTTACTCAAATTATGCTATGGTTTCAAATTATATCCAAACCAACTCGAATGTGGAAGTAGCAAAACTTCTGACCCTCCACATTTCCATAAGAAAGTATTTTCAAAGCAAAATATTACATTTTTAAAATGAACCATGGACTACTCAACTGATATTATTCGAGAAAGTTCAAACTTTCTGTACTCAGTTCTTTATATGAATTTATTTGTCTACAAAGTTGTTTTTGGAAAAAATAATACTGACCAAAACAATTTATGTTTCAGGATATATTTTCATTCTATTTTATATATTGCATAATTTTTCAGAAAACATTTTGCATGCCTTGAAGACACACTGTGAGACTGGATACACCTATCTTCAAAAACAATAAACTAACTATAACGCTAAACTGGCAATATCCAGTCAACAATCCAAGTATGCCTACTAAATGTTCACAAGTTTTAAATTTCATTAAAATCTTCACACTGAAACAAGAACCAAAACAAGAGCTGAGTTTGAAATGCAAACAAGATACAATACCGGCAGCACAAGATCTCTTCAAGTTTTCAGGTAATAAATTATTTGTTCTAGATGTTAACTAAAGGGTGATAGATTCAGCATTACAGTATTTGTATACAATGGCTAGAATCGAAAACTGTGTACACATACAGGAGCTTTTTCTTCAGTTCATTGTGCCTCCTCCCTGCTTCTTAAGTTATTAAAAGAAACAAGTTGTTACAAGGGGTTGCAGCTGAATAAAGGAAACCAACTTCCTTCTCTCCAAGCACAAGCCATCTGACATTGGAGCCAACATTATTTCTCAAAATCAAATAAGAAAGCATTTGTGCCAACTTGTTTTTCTAAAAAGGAATGGCAAAAGATAAAAAAAAATCTCAAATAATGTTGCGCTTGAGTCCTGCAACAAATTTATGGGTCCCACCCTTTACAAAGGCCCGTTAGAAGTGTGCATCTTTCTTAGCAAAATGCCTATCACTCATAATTTCCATAATCATTTCCTAAGGTTAGCTAAGCACATATTAGTCTTTACTCCCAACCAAAGGTCACTGGGACACCCCACCTCCTAGGAAAATCATCATGGCAACAGGAAGACCAACATAACCCCAGTCATCAGAAAATGAGCTGTTGCAGGAAACATGTATTCCCTCTCCCCATCAGAAAGAACTCGTACAACTCCTACTTGCCCTAAATACAAAGCCAAAGGAGACACACCAACCAGAAGTCCAGGAGCCACAAGAGGATAGACATATGCCTCCTACAAAAACCATCTTCAGAAGGGACAGCTTACTCTAGCTCCTTCCATCAGGGACCAGAATACGTCATCTGCTCAAGCATTCCAATACTTTATTCAGAGGGAAATGGTGCAAGAGTCGCTAATTTTCAGAACTTAATTCAGATATAACAGTTGCATCCTGATACAATGGTAAAACACGTGGTAACAATACAGGAATAAGTGTCTCATCATGGCCATAGGAAACCTGGAAGCTACTATTTCCATTTTAGAATAATTGTAGTGTAGTGTTATCCAAAAACTAAAATTATGGTTAATATTAAATATGATTAAATTAACACTAGCCTTTTATACCCTATCTACTTTAAGATAAATGTGGTTTGTTTTCCACTAACCATAATTCAGATAAGCTAGTTTACCTGTGATCAGATGGCACAACAAGTTCCCATTAACTGAATGTGGAATGAAATCCATGCAAAGCTCCCTCCCACAGCCATCACCTGGTGAAGGAGCTCATGATCCCAAGAGTTCCAGATGTTTTGGACTTCTGCTCCCAGAAGCCTTACTTGCCCAATAATCAGCATTTCTGAGAGCTAAAGTCCAAAACATCTGTAAGACTGGGAAAACTGCCTTAGATATGGGCTCTAGGAATATTTGGCTGCTTGGCTGCTATCATACTTCACTGACTAAGTTATAATGTTGGGATATTATTTTTCCCCTTATGTTCAAACTTTTGAGAAAATAGTGCTTCAGAAATGCAACCTCGGATGAAGTACTATTGAAAATAATGATGAAGTTTAAGGACTACTTCCACTAACTGGAGCTTACGAATTACTCTAACTCAAAAGCAGCTATTGCCCTAGAACAAATTTAGAGATATAATCCTTTCATCTTTTTTATGTCATGGAATCATATTATCCTTACATGAACAATCAGATAACATTATAATCTAGGCCATTCAATTTTCCTTAATATTTCAAAACTGGCTGTACATTTTTATCAGCATTCTCAGAAGGGTCTGATTGCAATATTCATTCTGTATGACCAAATCTTCCTTCCATGAAAATCTGCTGTGAAGGCCTTGCTAAGGCTTCCTTCATTAAATATTAAGATCAGTGATGAACAAAAGCCAGTCATTTTAAAACAAGAATTTTTACTGACTATTTTGTGCTTTAAGATGTATATGTTTACTGATTTGCTTACACACGTTTTGATATAAGCAAATAAACAATTATTTACTGAACACATAAACAAAGCATGAATTTCCATTAGAGGTACCTGCAAATCAGATAAAATGCCACAGCAAAATCTCGATTAGGTATCATTTAGAAGAGGGAACATGTTTGAAATTTGTTCAGACTACCTTATATAATAATCTCTAAATCAACCTAATGTGTAAGCTGAGGGCTGGTTTAAGGGCCAAAAGTCTGGATTTTGATACACCCCATGGATACGTTGAGGTCCATTTGGTGGAGAGAAGAAAGCACTAGTGCCCACTCATGGATCAGCCAACCCTGAGAGGATATGTTTTCTTTTTTAATAAGACTTGAGATGCTATACTCACATTGTTGTGTGGATAAGTTGATCCAGTTTTTTGGGTTGATTTTTGACTAAAATTTCTAGACTTCTGCATGAACACAGAAGTATGTTCATTCCCAAGTTGTATTTGTCGCAAAATCTGAAATATTGATTCATAATGGTTGAATTACCATGAATAGCCAAAAAGAGATCTTTGGGGCATTGAAATGTGTGGCAAAAACACTCACCACTGAAGGTACAAAAAGGGGAGCAAAAAAGAAATGTCTAAAACAGAGCATTGGTTAAAAAATACTATATCAAAGGAAAAGTCTAACTCAAAAAACTAGAATAAAACAAATGCAGTTTTATTAAAAGTTATAAAATATTTTGAGTTCCTTTCAAGATAGCGAGAATAATTATTAAGCCATCCATATGAGGTATAACAGATAGATATTGCAAAAAATAACTAGGAAATCTGCAGGAACTTTTTTGTTGAATTCCAGGGTCAGAGAAGCAGATGGCGAAAACAGAATAACAGCCTGTATCAGGGGAGCATGCTTGCTCCATCAGTGTTTAACATTTACACAAATTATCAGCCACTGCCAGAAGGGACAAAGATTCATCTATGCTGATGATCGTGCCATCACTGCCCAAGCAGGAAGCTTTGAAATGCTTGAACAGAAGCTCTCCGAAGCTTTAAGTGCCTATTATAGAGAAAGCCAGCTGATTCCTAATCCATCTAAAACACAGATGTGTGCTTTTCATCTTAAGAACAGAGAAGCATCTCGAGCTCTGAGGACTACCTGGAAAGAAATCCCACCGGAGCATTGCAGCACTTCCAAATACCTGGGAGTTACCTTGGACCGTGCTCTGACCTAAAGAAGCACTGCCTGAATATAAAGCAAAAAGTGGGTGATATAAATCATATCATACGAAAGCGGACTGAAATAACCTGGGGATCACAATCACATACAGTGAAGACATCTGCTCCTGCGCTTTGCTACTCTTCTGCTGAGTACACATGTCCAATGTGGAACGTATCTCGCCATGGTAAAACAGTGGATGTGGCACTTAATGAGACATGTTGTAGTATCACAGGATGTCTATGCCCTACACCACTGGAGAAATTATACCCTTTAACTGGTATCGCACCACCTGACATCCACCGGGAAGTAGGAGCCAATAATGAAAGGACCAAGGCAGTGACATCTCCGGCCCATCCCCTGTTTAGTTATCAGCCAGCATGCCAACGCCTTAAATCAAGAAATAGTTTTTTAAGATCTACAGAAATA